AGAACAACAACAAAATAAAATTTTGGTAGTGGTAAAAAAATATATAATAATTATTTAAAAAAATTTTTAAGTAAGGTGGGGGTTCAATACACCAGGAAAAGTAGAACAACGGAGTTAGGGATCCCTGAGTTTTCTAAACTGGTTTCCGAAGTATCTAAAGATATGTTATAATACGTTTAATTTATTTAACCAAAACACTCAGTATAAATTTTGCAAAAAATTTTCAACCAATTTAATATAAAAATAAGACAGGGTGGAATTGTTAGTAGTCTTGGCTAGATCCATAACCGCCAGATCTATAAGGTTAATTAAGATTAAGTTCTTTTTTTTTTATTTTGCAACAAAGAAGACAAACAACAAAGCAAGGAATAATATTGCAACACTAATATTACTGTTCTTAAAAAATTACGATTAAGATTTTAAATTCTGCATGAAGATGATTCCTACAGATAAGTAAGGAGTGAAATAAACCAAAGAAAAAAAAAACTAAAGCCAAACAGCCATCTCTACACAGTTTCCACAATTGAAAGAAGCCCATATTGTAGACTAAGCCGCGTGTTGAATAGAAACAGTGTTATTTTATTCTGAGTAACACATAAATTGATGGCTTGTAGGATATTTCAGTTAATTTACGTTGATCCGGGTTCCAAATTATTATTTTTTTTGTTTCTTTAATTCAGTTTTCTTTTTTTTTGCCTCATGGCTCAGTGGAACAATAGGCTTATTAAAGAAAATAGAAAGCAAAGCAAAGTTATCATCAGAATTTCTGGGCGCACATTCAACCATTTGAATCAACAGCAATTTGAATTTCCAATTGTACGTGTGATTCACCAACGACTGCAACAATGATTAATTTATATCAGAAAGTCAAGAATATTTTCTTTTTATTATTGATCGTTTAGCCAGGAAATTCTTGGAAGAACCCTCGTGGGTAAGCTTAATCCACCCATGTGGTATCTCATCTCATAAGTATCACGATCCATAGATTCAACAATTGAATTGCAGGCATATATATATATTTCAGTCCTATGTAGTGGTGTATAGAGCCTTATCAACAACAAATCTACCAAGTGTGTTGATGATGATGATATTCCTTTGTTTGGGTTTAAAGACGGCAATCTAATTTCCTATCAATTTACAATTATCAATTTATAAATGAAAAAATTTTTCCTTTTATTCTCTGCATTACGTAATACAAAATATATCACAAAATCCCAAAAACGGAAATAAGTCCCAACATTGCGGCTGTGTTTGTGTGCAGGAATTGTTGCACAAAATGATTACCTGCAGGAAAATAAAATATTCCATCAATTTTCTTTTTTTCTTGGTGAAGATGTATGAACAATCTAATTAAAAATTATTTCACACTATCATGCCCCACCAAAAAATATAAAAGGGGACCCATCGGAAGAACTTGATTAGATTTGAATTTTTTTTGTTTTTTTATTTTGGACTCTATCATAGTTTATTTTCAAATCATCAATTAAAAGATAGTTAGAAAAATAGGATACAACAACAACAGTAAAGTTTATCCCACTCAAGCGTTTTAGTTTATTTATATTTTTCTTAAAGTCTTTTTTTATTACTTTTAAACCCGTTCAAAGAGTATTTTTACCCAGCTTTGAACAAACTCCCTTAGTTTTATCTCCTTTTAAGAGTCTTTGAAAATACGGTCTGAAACTAAAGATTTCGAAAAAAATGGCTCGTCAATTAGTGAGAGCTATCAAGATGAAGGCGGTGAGAAATCGAAATCTCATGTAAATTCCGCTTCTGATGCCTATAGAATTTCTATAGCTGATGCTGCAGCTCAATTTAAAACAGATTTAGTCAATGGTCTTTCAGAACATGAGGCAACTTCAAGAGCCCAACAGTTTGGTTTGAACAATTTGGGTGAAGAAGAAAAAATCTCATATACAAAGATCTTGGCTCATCAAGTGTTCAATGCTATGATTTTGGTCTTGATCATCAGTATGATCATTGCTCTTGCCATTAAGGATTGGATCTCTGGAGGTGTCATCGCAGGTGTCATTGGTATTAATGTTATCGTTGGTTTTCTTCAAGAATACAAGGCTGAGAAAACCATGGGTTCATTGAGAAATTTGAGTTCCCCAACTGCTAGAGTTACAAGAAATGGTGACGATGTTACGATTCCAGCAGAACAGGTTGTCCCGGGTGATATTGTGCACATCAAAGTTGGTGACACCATCCCTGCTGATCTTAGATTGTTTGACACCATGAATTTGGAAACCGACGAAGCATTGTTGACTGGTGAATCGTTGCCTGTTACCAAGAATCACGAGGCTGTCTATGGTGATTATTCTGTTCCTATTCCCGTTGGTGATCGTTTGAATCTTGCTTATTCTTCTTCTATTGTTTCTAAAGGTAGAGGTTCTGGTATTGCTTACGCCACTGGTTTGAACACTGAAATTGGTGCTATTGCCCAATCATTGAAAGGAAACAGTGGTTTAATCAGAAGAGTTGACAAGTCTGATGGCAGAAAGCCTAAGAAGAGAGAATACAGTAAGGCTGCCGCAGGTACTGTTTGGGATGTTATTGGTAACGTTTTAGGTGTCAATGTGGGTACTCCATTGCAAAGAAAGTTGTCGTGGTTGGCCATTTTGTTGTTCTGGGTTGCTGTTGTCTTTGCCATTGTTGTCATGGCGTCTCAAAGATTCAGGGTCAACAAGGAAGTTGCCATCTATGCCATTTGTGTTGCCCTTTCTATGATTCCTTCCTCCCTTGTTGTTGTGTTGACTATTACCATGGCTGTTGGTGCTGAAGTGATGGTTACCAAGAATGTTATTGTCAGAAAGTTGGATTCTTTGGAAGCTTTAGGTGGTATTGACGATATTTGTTCCGACAAGACTGGTACTTTAACTCAAGGTAAGATGATTGCGAAGAAGGTGTGGTTGCCGAATGTTGGTACTTTGGAAGTGCAGAACTCCAATGAGCCATACAATCCTACTGTTGGTGATGTTATGTTTTCCCAGTTCTCACCAAAATTCATCAAAGAAACTGACGAAGAAATCGACTTTAACAAGCCGTACCCTGATCCGATGCCGAAGACCATGCACGACTGGTTGATGACTGCTACGTTGGCCAACATTGCGACTGTGAGCCAGACCAAGGACGAAGAGTCTGGGGAGATGGTTTGGAAGGCGCACGGTGATGCCACTGAAATTGCTATCCAGGTGTTTACCACGAGATTGGACTATGGGCGTGAATCGCTCGTGCACAACTACGAGCACCTTGCTGAGTTCCCATTTGACTCGTCCATCAAGAGGATGTCTGCCGTGTACAAGGACAAACACGAGACCAGGGTGTACACCAAGGGTGCTGTTGAGAGAGTTTTGGGCTTGTGTGACTACTGGTATGGTGAACGTACCGAAGGTTCCTACGATTCACAAAAATTAGTTAAATTGACTGACGATGACATCAAATTGATTGAAGAAAATATGGCTGCTTTGTCTTCCCAAGGGTTGAGGGTGTTGGCGTTTGCTACTAAGGAACTTGGGTCCAGTGATATTTCTGAACGTGAGCAAGTGGAGTCGCACTTGACCTTCCAAGGGTTGATTGGTATCTACGATCCTCCAAGAGAGGAGACTGCTGGTTCTGTCAAGTTGTGCCACGGTGCTGGTATCAATGTGCACATGCTTACTGGTGACCACCCGGGCACCGCCAAGGCCATTGCACAAGAGGTGGGTATCTTGCCGAGAAACTTGTACCACTACAGCGACGACATTGTGAAGGTGATGGTGATGACTGCGAACGAGTTTGACGCCTTGTCTGACGAGGAGATCGACAACTTGCCTGTGTTGCCGTTGGTGATTGCGCGTTGTGCGCCAAAGACCAAAGTCAGAATGATCGAGGCCTTGCACAGACGGAAGAAGTTTGCTGCCATGACTGGTGACGGTGTGAACGACTCCCCGTCGTTGAAGAAGGCCGATGTTGGTATTGCCATGGGTATGAACGGGTCTGATGTTGCCAAGGACGCCTCTGACATTGTTCTTACGGACGATAACTTTGCCTCCATCTTGAATGCCATTGAGGAGGGCCGTCGTATGTCGTCCAACATCCAGAAGTTTGTGTTGCAGTTGCTTGCTGAGAATGTTGCCCAAGCTCTTTACTTGATGTGTGGTCTTGCGTTCATAGACAACACAGGCTTCTCTGTGTTCCCTTTGTCGCCTGTTTCTTGTCTATTCGTTATTGTTGTAACCTCAATTTTACCGGCCCTTGGGTTGGGAATGTGTCCTGCTGATGATGAGGTGTTGGAGAGACCACCGAATAGCATGATTTTCACTTGGGAGGTGATTCTTGATATGTTTGTGTACGGCACGCTAGTCGCGTGCGCGTGCATGTTGTGTTTCACAATTGTGGTCTACGGAAAAGGCAATGGAGACTTGGGCCACGGCTGTAACAAGATGAACGCTAATATCGATGCTTGTGGGTTGGTGTTTGAAGGCAGAGCCTCTGCCTTCGTGGTCTTAACATGGGGTGCATTGATTTTGGCCTTGGAGTGTCTCCATCCGACTAAATCTTTTTTCAACATGCGTGTCTCCGATAGACCATGGTACACACAAACCGTGCTTGGTCTTTGGGAGAACAAGGTGCTTTTCTGGTCCATTGTGTTTGGTATTGCTGCTGTGTTCCCTGTTATCTACATCCCGGTGATCAACACCAAGGTGTTCTTGCACAAGCTGATTGGCTGGGAATGGGGGCTCTCCATTGCTTGTACCGTCTTCTTCTGGATCACTGCCGAAGCCTGGAAGTGGGCTAAGCGTATCTACATCAGAAGAAAAGCTGCAAACAATGGTGATGGTAAAGAGAATGTCCTCAATGAAAACGATCCATTCCTGAAGTATGCTTCATTTAGTAGAGACAACACCATGGTTGTTTGATTTTTTTTTCTTTTATTTATATACGGAGGTTTTTTTGTTCCACTAGGATTTTTCCTCCAAGTAGTTTATATATTTGTTCTATGTAGTGTTTTTTTTATATTATTATTATTATATGTTATATTTTGTTTTATTTAATATTGTATTATTTAATATTGTGTTGTACATGTTGATGTTCTTGTCTGCACAAGTTGGTGTATTTTGGGTGGTGATTTGATCATCCCCTTGTCTTGGCTGTGTTCAAGAACGAACAAATGAACAACTACAGTAGTTGCAGTTTTATTTCGTACCAAGTTCAAAGAAATTATTAATACTAGTGCGACAATTTAATTCATAGTAAAGGAGATTAATTGTTCATAGTAAATGGACTCAAAATGTTCACACCAGCAAAAATATTACTTTCAAACTAACTGCCCTTTTTTGTTCATACCATATATCATACATTTTCAGTATGAACAAATAGAGATCGCATAATATGAACATTATACGTGCGCTAGTAACAATAATATTGCCAGCCTAAATATGGACTTTTCGTCATATGATAGTGCGAAATAAAACAGTAGAGATGTGAGAATAGAAAAATAATCCAACAGTGCTTGACATATATATTTGTGTTTGAGCTTACTTATTTACGTTTGTGAAGGCTTAGACCTTCTACTACTATACTGGATCAAACTTAGCACCGGCTCCTTAACTAGTGTACATAAGGGTTGATATTTAATACATCAAGCTTATATTTATCAGTGACCGGTCACGGAAGATGTCACATGGTTACACTACGGATGTTTGACAAACCGTATCATTGTACTGACTAGTACATATTTAGGATATTTTTAAGTGTATTCTGAAACACTTAGAATGAAAAGCCAGTGGCTTGTCAAATGTAACCACGAACACTATAAATGGTCTTGTGTATTCCCTGTCTCTTTTACTTATGGATGATATAAGAATCAAGGATTATAAAATATTCTATGCGTGAGAAAATCATAAGCTAAGTTGAGGGTGATATCGAATGACGGATCTGTTGGTTCCTATTTTTTATTTACTATTTACTATTTAAGGGTCGTCTCCAGGTGACCAAAGTTCTCTTTGACAATCTAACTTAAACATAAATTTTGAATGTCAATGTGAGAAATGCAGCAGTGGGTCGTGCATTGACTCCAATTTTTGTCTACTGGTAATTCAAATCATCTAGTTAATTAGTCGTTGGAGAACAAACTGTGCCAGCAGCAATACCCAATACTTTTAGACCTGTTACTTTTGGGTCAATTATCTAGTATTTCTCGGGTCAGTATATTACAGCATTCTTGGTTGTCCTTATTTCTTGCGACTGCAAATATAGACAGTAGTATTTGCACTAGCTGCACTGCATCAATGCTACATGGTCAAGTGTCAACCTCTGAGACACATGTCTGTTTTAGAGTGTATAGAACAGCTGGTAGTCGTAATAAGCCATAACGTGACTAATCAGCATGCTGTATGCCTAATGTATTTGGTTCTATAATCACAGAACAACAATTTTTTGTCAGAGATCTACATTATGACATTGACAAGTCCCTACGTTTCTTGTTTGTTTTTGTCTACCACCACGCTTATACTAAACTGTACAAACACCTATTCCCATTGCACAAAAGCCAGTTCTTCTACATAACCAACATCATTCTTATCGAAGTTCTCTTCTGGGATAAAATCGTCCTCACTAGTGAAAACAACAATGGTACCCCAAGACATCCCTCCAATAATATCTCCATCCAACCCTTCTAAATCCATAATGGCTTTTGGCATTAATTGTAATTCGTATTTTTTACCTGATGGAGGGTGTCCGATTTTACTGGAATACCATAATGGTTGCCCACCATATCTAAGAACTTGACCTGGGTTTTCTTGAACCACATTTGTGAATTTCTCAAAACATTTATCTTGCAACATGTTGGCAATTTTACCCGCTTGTGGATTCTCAAATCCCATAGATGTGCCAACTTTCTCGGAAATGTCTCCATCGTCGAAATCTCCATCTCCTTCTTGTTCAATCAAATGTTTATATTTTTCTAAATCTGGATCAGTTTTACCCTTTTTGAATCTTTCGTTTTCAACATAAACAAAATACCCTTTATATTCTGGAAGAGTACCTTGAAATTTCTTCACTGGTTTTGGTTTTGGGGCATTAGTGGATGCAACGTCTGCATATGATGGTGTCTTTGTAGTCTTCTTATCAGTGGATTCTGGTTTCTTTGGTTCTTCAGCTTTCTTATCAAATGGATTCAGACCAAATGGATTAGAAAATGGATTGGAATTTCCACCAAATGGATTTGAAGAAGTATCAGTTTTTTTAAATAAATCTTTTGTTAATTCTTCATTTAATTTCTTTTGTTTATCTAATTTCAATTTAGCATCTAAATCTTTTTGTAATGCTTGTTGATTCTCTAGTTTAATCTTTTCAATAGTTTCTTTATCTTTAATAATACCTCTAATGGCTTTAATACTACCTTTTCTACCAGAACATGATTTAGTATTTTTACATCCAAATACATAAATTACTCTATCATATAATTTCCCCAGAATTGGGGCAAATGCTTGTAAATATAATGCCATTTCTTGATTACATAAATCACAAGTAACTAATTTTTGAGGTGGTTTAGATTCAGGATGAAGCCAAACTGGTTGTCCCCCAATAAAGGTATCTTCAATTGTTGGAAGTTCTTCTTCTTCATCATCGTCATCACCATTTTCTTCTTGATTGTAGATAATTGGTGCATCCACAAAACCTAAAAGGACCTGGGATTTACTTGATTCATCAAATGATTCTTCATCAGATGAATAAACATCTTCGTTTTCGTTATTAGTTGACATTCTTGTTGTGAATAGCTAACTTTGAGATGAGATGGACTAGCAATGAATTTTCAAAAATTTTTTTTTTCATACTCCTTCATGTCGTGCGTGTAAATTTGTTGCCACACTCTGTATCAAGTGTTTTCTGTATTTACAATCTTTATAGTATATAAACTATTTACAAGTATCTTTTATGCAAGATTTCTTCATAAACTTGGATCTTATCACCAGATTCAAAGTCTGACCAACCATCAAATGAAAGACCACAATCTTTACCCTTACCAGCTTCACTAATATCATCTTTCACATGTTTTAATGTAGACAACTTACCGGTATAGATTTCTTCTCCATTACGGAAGACTTTTACTTGAGATGAACTCTTAATGACACCTGAAGTAACTCTACAACCGGCAACTTTAACCTTCTGTTTTTTCACTGACACAACAAACACATCTTTAATTTCCACTTCACCCAATGTTTTAATTTCAACTCTTGGTTTCAAATGAGAACTCAACTCTTCATTAACTTCCTCAATTAATCGATAAATAATGTTATGTTCCACAATCTTGACTTTCTCTTTATCTGCTCTAACAGCAATTGGTTTAGGTACTTTCATATTAAAACAGAAAATGGTAGCATCAAAGGTTTTAGCCAAATCAATATCACCATCAGTAGGTGGGCCAGCTTCGTGTGAAATAACAACCGATTTGACTTCATCATTTCCTAATCCATCAATACTCTCTTTGATTGCTTCAGCAGAACCAAATACATCTGATTTAATCATATAATTACATTTTATGACTTTACTATCTTCCTCTTCCTGTTCTAATGCACTGGTGTCTAATCCAGCTTTCTTCAATTCAGCAATCTTTTCCAATCTTTGGGCATCTTTCAATTCATCAGCTCTTTTAGCATTAATATCTTCAATATCTCTAGTGGCCTGGATTTGTTGTGATCTAGAAACACGATATTCAATGACTTTCTTGGCGATTTGTTCTGATTTGGCTTGCAATAATTGATCACCACTGTCTGGTAATTCTTTCCAACCCCAAATTCTCACTGGAGTTGAAGGTCCTGCAAGTTTAACCATTTTACCATTTTCATCCTTCATTCCTCTAATTTTACAGAAAGTCTTTCCTGCAACTATGATATCTCCTGTTTTCAAAGTTCCTCTACGGACCAATACCGTTGCAACATTTCCCATTCCTTTAACAACCTCTGATTCAATGACCCATCCTTCAGCAGGAATTCCTCGAGGTTCTGCTTTAAAATCACTCATTTCACTCAATGTGATTACAGCTTCCTCCAATTTATCCATATTTAAACCCGTCTTACCAGAAACTTGAACAGTTTGTGTATCACCACCATAATCTTCAATATCCACTTCATGCATCGCAAGATCGGCTAACACTTTATCAACTTTAACACCAGGTTTATCACACTTGTTGATTGCAACAATAATTGGTACCCCAGATTTCTTTGCATGTTTTATAGCTTCAATAGTTTGTGGCATGACTGAATCATCTGCTGCAACTACTAAAATAACAATATCAGTAATAATAGCCCCTCTTTCTCTCATTTTCAAAAAAGCTGCATGTCCAGGAGTATCCAAGAATGTAATCTTCTTTTTAGATATTGGTGTAGTCACGGAAAACGCACCAATATGTTGAGTAATACCACCAAACTCTTGTGTAACAATACTTGATTTTCTTAAATAATCAAGAATAGTAGTTTTACCATGATCAACATGTCCCATGATTGTAACAACTGGTGGTCTATCTTGAAGTAGTTCTGGTTTTTCAGGTGCTGGGAATAAATCTTCATTTGAAGAATCAGAAACTTCAACCTCAATGCCATATTCATCTGCAACCATTGCAGCATTCTCTTTATCTATAATATAATTATGTCTAATATCTTCAAATCCTAAACCCTCCAATTTCTTGAAAACATCATTTAATGGAACGTGCATAATTGTTGCCAAGTTGGAAACAGTAATAAATGGTGGGAGTTGAATCTTGACTAATTTCTTAACAGGTTTTTTCTGTTTACGAACTTGAATCTTTTTACGTGGTTTTACTGGAGCTTGTTGTTGCTGAACTGGAGGCACTTCCTCTTTCAGTTTATTCCCGTTTTTTACTTCTGCTTCCATACGAGAACGTAATTTTTGATACTGCTCTAGTTTTGCTTGTTCTAAGTCATTTCCCTTTGATTGTGGTTTTTGAAATGATTGTGACTTAGTGTTACTTTGATTCTGTTTTGACTGTTGTTGTTTCTTCGGTGATTTATTTCGTGGTGATTGGGATGTAGTAGCTGGTTTCGAATATTGTTGTGCAAATCTATTGACCTTAGGCTTTACTTCTGGTGTCTTTTCTAAAGTAGAATCTTTAACAATCTCCGAATAAGCCCTTCGTAACACTAGACTGGGATATGTCACCCTTAGCACAGTTCTTGGTAACATTATTGGTGTTTCTAATATTGAAAAGAAAGTTCGAAAATTTTTCAAAAGCGGATTTCTCCTTGTCCTTTTTTTTTTGTTGTTGTCCCACACAGGTTATAGGAATTTTTTTTTTCTTTCTTTTGCTTCTTCTCCGATGATAATAATTGACAGTGAGTATACATTTTCCGTGCACTTACACTCATACGTAATCTTGCGACAAGCACAAGGGTCACTCTTCATATACAATCTAAACCTATACATAATCTCCATTAGAAGAGATATTTCCCAATTCTTTTGTTTCATTCAAAATTGCAATCAAATCATCAATATCTCGGAAATTTCTATCATCACATGCAAAGTTTCGATGTCTATTACTAGCGATATGATCATCAAAATTGTCATATTTAACTCGACAATTTTCACAATAACCAGGTGTTTGTACTTTATCTTTTCTTTCACAACTTGGAACTGACTTCTTTTTCATTAAAATTCTTCTCTTCAAATTGTTTAACTTTTTAGATGGCACTTGCGACAAAACTGGACCTAAACCATTACCTCCAGCCATGGCAGCAGCACTATTCAAATTGGAATCCATAGAAAACGCCATAGCATTAGATGCTCCATTGAAACCAGAAGCCATCACTTCTGTGGCCTTTGATTGCATGCACGACGAGTTACGTATCAATGGTTGTCTAAAGATGTGTTCTTCGCTTATTTGACTAACTGTAGCTTCAGCTTCTGGACCATGTTCCTTTTCCACATCCTCATCAATCTTGTCGGTGCTGGTACTAGTTCCTGTGAACCCTTGAATACTCATAGATATTCCATTAATCATTTTAAATGTAGCTAATTTTAATGCCTGACGATGGACCTGAGTTGCTTCAAATTTCTTCAATCTTTTAGCTCTTTTCCTTTCCAGATTTTGATCACTTGGATCAATTATAAATGGACATTTTCCGTCTAGTGTCAAACGCATAGTTGGGTAATTGCTACCCCATTCTCGCACCGCGATTGGTCTAACCATTTGGGTCAAATCATAGACATATAAATAGAATTTGGAGAAATAATGCAAGTCATCTCGTTTAGCATTTGGATCTCTATCTGTGGAACCATAAATTTTTTCCTCTTTCAATAAAGTATATAAGTTATTCTTGTCATTATTGGTTGTGCTAGTACCGTTGGTTAAAGATGGTGGGAGAACCGTATGAGTATTAACGGCAAGTTCGTCTACCCCTGTTTGAATATTTATGCCTAGATTTTTAAGGAATCGGAAGACTTTGTCATAATTCCATACCTTGATTCCTCCCTTTGAAACATTACTGAATATATCATGGGGAGAATATTCAGCCTTATCATCATATGGACGCTTCGATATAATAATAGTGACATTGTTATCATAAAATGGTGTAACTTTACAGCCAACAATTCGTAATAGCTTATGAGCTTTTCTATATTCTTGCAGTTGTTGATCCCCTTCAAAGTATACCACTGAATGCTTCATGATTTTTCTCCAAGACTGTTGCCATTGGTGCATCTCATCTCCAGATAACTTCTCATTAGCCTTTTGTTGTTGAACATAATGATGTTGAGTTTTCTTCAGTTTTTGAATATTTCTATCAATTTGAACTTCCTGTGGCTGTTGTTTACTTGGGGACTCGGTTTTCCTTCGTTTGTTTGGTGAAGGAATATTGGAATTGGTTTCTTTTAAAGGCTGGCGAGGTTTTGCCAAAGAAGGGTATTTCCTCTTAAGGTTACTCAGATTACTCAGATTGTTATCAGTTCCTTCAATTAATACCATGGTTGGTTTCTACTCTATTTTCTTTTTGCTAGCCCACAGGTTGTAAACATAAACTTAGAATAGTTAGAGGAAAAATTTTCTACTATAAAGAGCCTGACACGAGAAATTACAGCGCGAGAGAGAGAGTGTGTGTGAGAGAACCAAAAAAAAAAAAAAAAAAAATCAGAAGCAGCGAAAGACAAATTTTAGGTTCACGCACAAAATACGCGAATGGCACAAAAGACGCCGCAAAGGGTAAACAAATCACGCACACAACACGACTGCCAATTTTGGAAGTATAATATATACTTAAAATATATAGGTTATACTTAGAGCACATACATAAAAGTAAAACAACAAACTCGACTTAAAAAAAAGAAGTAAATAAGACGTACAAACGTGTAGAAGAGGTGTAATATCCTATCAGTCATTTAAATTACCAAGGCAGCAAGTAATCCAAGGAGGGACATGAAACTCTTGGATCCAGTATCGGCTGAAGAACTGGTTTCTTCGGTTTCAGTGGGTTCTTCACTTTCAGACGACAATTCTCCAGTTGAGCTACCACTGTTTCTTATAGTGGTTGATTTGGTTTTTGAAGTAGTCGATGATTTTGTGGTGGCTTCATTCTTTTCAGTAACTGGTGCTGAATCATCCATGGTTAAAGCCGTGTTTAAAGCAATGGCACAATAGAGATCCTTAAGATCATCTGGACCATGAATCATTGTTCCTTCCCACTGATTACAACTTTGAGAACATTCAAACAAGTCATTGAAAAAATTATCTGACAAGGAACAAATACAATCTGCATAATTGATATCACCGTCAATACAACCTTTTCTTGCAAGAGAACCATGTGCTCTTACACATGCATCAACAGAACAATCTTCAGCTCTTTTTACAACATTGACTATATTTGAAGAAACAGAAGCAGCAAAGGCAATGACATAAAAAGCTTTCATTGTGAAATAAAAAATGGTTAAAGTGATGTATACAAGGTTATCAAGAAAACAAAACAAAAAAATAATGTAGATTTAAACATGTCTTGTGGTATTTATACAATAATCTTGTAGTGATTCAAAGCAACGGGGAACTCTCCAAAATTCTATTGGATGCAATAAACATGGTAAACACTAGTCATATTATTACTGCATGTTAAGGTATTTGTCGACTCTTGGCCACCCCAATCTCAAATAGAAACAAAACAACAACAAGAACAAAAAAAAAAAAAAAATAAAACATAGTTTTGGTAGAAGTGGTCCCATTTCTGGATTTTAAATATTGCCAGATTTGTAGTCAGATTTGTAGGCCCAAGCAAATTATAATATCTTTTGTAAGAAACAAATACCGTGAGTTATGAAGCAACGAAGCCCTTGTTGTCGCACGGTGATGCCACTCGTATATTTTGCGCGGGGTTCCAGGAACTAGAAATAGACATAATTCCTGCTTTACAAACAATTAGCAAAGTTTTAATATAATTATATACTCAACGAAACTATTCTTTTTAATAAAGAAATAAAAAAAACACATTTAACATAGAAAAATCATTTAAAGAATTAAGCCAACAACTAAAGCAAACACTGGAACCATATAATTTGAATTAGCATGAGCTCTTGATTGTGAACTGCTATCTTCAGAATCAGAATCATCAGAGTCGGTATCATCAGTAGAACTAGCTGATGATCTTGCAGAGGAAGTAGTTGTTGATCTCGTAGATTGGGTAGAACTCAGTATTGAATTGGTAGTAGAAGAAGCTAATTGCAATCCAACAAGGGTATTTTCATTATCACCACCATCTCCAAAACGGTCAGCCAAGTCACAATATGAATCTTTGAAATCTGAAGGAGTTTTAATACCAGCATCATCATAAGGTAAACACTCTTTACCACAATCATAAACGTCTTCATAAAATGAATCTGACATATCATTACAAAGACATTCATAATTGGTTTCTCCATTACGCCCACAAACATCTGTTACAGCTTCACCAACATCAGCACATGCATTCAAATTACACTGTGCTCTTTTGATTAATTGCAAAATATCTGCTGTTGATAATCCAATAAGTGTTAATAAAATAACGAACTTCATGCTATTATAATCCAATGAGAGAATTCCAAGGTCCAATGAAATTTGTTTCAGTAAGGCAAAAGAACAGATATTGGATTATTTAAACCTATATTTATATTTGGTTTTACGAAAAAGAGGCAATTGTTGTGAATATAACAGTAGGACTCTTAAAAGTCAAGTAATAGCAAAAATATACTGTAAATTTACTTTAAATGTCTTGTTACAATGGAACAATTGTATGTTGGGGTATATATTTCATTAAAGTTAAAATACTATTTTACATTATCCAATGACTAATAATTTTTTCTTATTTTTATTTATTAAATAAACATGAATATAAAAATATTATTTTCGAGTAAATAAGAGCTCTTTATTTCCCAAAGTAGGAATTACCACGATAAACTAAGCTTTTATGGTCAACTTATTATTATTTTCGACATAAGTAGAAAATACACCAAGTAAGATAATAACTCAAAGTATATGAAGAAAGACGTTCATAATCAAATAATATTTCCCAGATAAAAAAAAAGTTAAATATGAAAAACCCGTCTAAGATACCAGTTTTTTTTTTTTTTTTCATTTTTCTAACATTTATATCAGTTCATATTTCTTTCTTCTTCTTTTTTTTTTTCAATTTTTTAACTTCATTAACTTTAATACGAAATAAATCGGTCCAACACTTATAGAATTATAAGACGTAGAGCTTCGTGTAAATCAATCAAGTGTAAATTCAGTTCTACTGTAACCTCAATGATTCTTGGACCCTTGTAAGAAAAGAATTAGAAAAAAATAACAAATTACTTTGATTAGTGATTAAAAAATTATCGTTCTAGTATTTGTAAATTTAAACAATACGAATTCAAATTCTAATTCACCAAGGTATGTATTAGTATTTCACAGATACATGTTTAGGTTTTGCCAAACGTTTATCGTCTGGGATAGTAACAACAACTTGATATATTCCCAATTAACCCACGTGTGGATTAAAACATAATTCTGTAACGACAAATAGAGATTCCATCAATATGGACATTACGACTTACTACAGTTGTATCAAGGAAACAGTGGATTTTGTCTTAACGACAGTGGAAGTCATATGAATCATCAGTAATGACGTATTCCACTACTGGTAACGCGTGTATTATTCCTCTTCTACATTAACCAACTCCTTCCCCTTCATATAGTTTTCCTTTAAAACCTCATCTTGTAAGCTGTTGAAAAAAACAGATAATCTTTGAATCAATTTGAATGCAGCGAATGTTGTAGTACCAACCATGATGGCGGCAAAAATATATGTTCCCGTTGGCTTGATTACTGGCACATGAACCGTATTTAATGCCATTCCCAATGCCTTACAGGAACAATAAATTGTAACTAATGGGACAAAAATAACAAACATGAAAATGATAATCAAACATAAGTATGCTCTTACTTTGAAATAAGGAGGAACATAAACGACAGTGTAACTTGGTTCAAAATCAATGTCACTTTCTTCATAGTCTTCTTCGTTATCACCAGTACCAGCTGTGGCTGGATCAGGGATAGGCTCTATAGGAATATCTGATTTCGTGACACGAATAAACATTCCGTTTAAATACTTTTTTGGAATGCTGTCCAGAGAAGGGACCCTCATGTAATGACCATCTGGTACAAATGTACCATTTTCAGTGGAAATCGATACTGCTGGGCCAATATGGTACCATCTTTTGACAAAACCTCTTTCCTCAGCAGAGTTAAACCCAATGACATAATGGCTCAATCTTAAACGGTGTGCCACTACTTGAATTACTCTTGTTAAGTAAACCAATCCAAAGTCCTTCATTTCATCTCGAAGTGTGATCATTGTTATAGAGAACAAGGTCAACACCACAAAAAAGTTATAATCTGGACCACCCATCAACTTAAACATACACCAAGTAGATGAGTAAATTAAGCAAACAATAAAGAAAAAGTATACCTTACCAGTCAAATAAATTCTTTTCACTTGGACTTTAAGTGGAACAACCAATGCATCATGAATAATTCTAATATTTGGATCATCTGGTGTTCTCAAAAAGAAAAGGACACCAGTACGCAAAACATTCTTTCTGGCGGAATCAACCAACATTGCCAAAAGTACCATAAAAAGGGTGCCCACACCCCAGTAAACTAACAATCTAATATAGGCTACCTGGAGAGTTTCGTAATGGGAACTTGCAAGAATATACTTGACGTCTGGGATAAACGGTCTCGCGGTGAAATCCAACAATAATCCACAAAAGATAGGAAACAAGACAATCTCAGTTTTGAGCACAACAGCAACTTTAAGAGTACATGCAATCTCAAACAACACCTTGTACACTTTACGAGGGGTACCTGTAATTGGTTTACCATTGTCAGTTCCTCTAATCATTTGCATTGCTTTGTAAATTCCAAACCCAACGATACCATATCCAACAGAAAGCAAAAACACTCTGTCAGTCCAAGTATATGGGCCCCTGCTGATGAACAAACGGTCAATAGCTGCTGTCAAGGGTTGGATCAAATTCAGATTGATAAATCCCAAGTACCCAACAGCCAGACCAAGAACACTGGCATCGACTTTAAAGTTCAAATAAACGAATGACAAACCAATAGTGTGAATAACAAGATTAGTAATGATAGCAAGCAAGCTACCCAACATATGCGGAATGAGATAAATCAAAAACAAGTACAAAACAATAACACAATCAATAATGACCATGAGATATACTGGCGTTTTCACTGACAATGTGATGCCAAACATTTCAAGAAATTCAACAATTGCCCCTGCCTGTTCCTGATTATTGCCATTACCATTCACATTATCTGCAGCTGCCGCAGCAGCAGCGGCAATTGCAGCAGCCTCTTCATCATCTTCGTCGACATCTTCATCGTCGTCAAATGGTTCATCATCTGTATCATGACCACCATAGTGATCGTCGCCATGGTCATCCTCTTCATTTTCATCACCAAATATATCATGAATAAAATTTCTCTGAGGAGCAACTGCTGCTGGTACTTGTTCTCTAACAACCGGCTCTATATTATGAATACCGGCTTCACCTGCAGGTTGGTCTTCATCGGGAAACAATTGATTTTCGTTAATTGCCCTCCTCAATCCTTCCTCGCCTCTGGCAGCCACGTTCATATCCTCATTTTCGTTTTGCAAATCATTGATAGCCTGAGCCAAAGTTTCCAAACGTTCCAAATGGGCAGCAGCAGCGGCGTCGCCATTATTCCCGTCATTTCTTAAACTTTGCAACGCATTCTGCAACATATCCACCAATTTTGTCCTTGGCTCTTTACCAATCTTCTTGTACAACAACTTAAGATATCCTTCATCACGAACAACCCATTCACGTTCGATAAACAATGCAATATGAACAATAATAGCAGCCACAATATATCTTACCCCACTAAAGTACGTGTAACTCAAAAATTTTTGCAATTTGATCAATGTCAATTGTATAGGTGGGTAGGTATCTGGAGAAAACTTTGACAAATATCCCTTGATATCGTATTCGCCAAAAAATAATGCATCCAATAATTTTTGGTTGGCTACCGGTAAGCTGCCATCGATGGCCCAGGTATAAACCCTACCGGTGAATTTCAAAAACAAGGGCACCTGGATCAAAATGCATAGTATGTAAAGGGAGATTGCAATGGCTTTGAATATAGTTGATGATAGTACCAGTAGAAGTTTCATCCATATTAAACTCAATGGCACCGATTGGGGCATGGCTGGATCATAAATTATTCTAAATTTGTATGGAGTGTCACAGATATCACATTTTTCAGTTGATTTATTGGCATGTTTTAACCATTCCATCAAACAATCCTGATGAACATATTTAATGGAACCTCGACATTTACAAGGATGATAAAGTGGTTGGGATTGTGTTGCCTCACCACGGCAAATACGACAAGAATGCTCTGTTACGTCTGTAGACATTCTTGGTCAATATAAATAACTATTCAAAATAGAATCCAAAGGTAATTGATGAATGTATTCACTAATAAATACAGTTATTCAAAAGTAATCAGACAGTGTAGATTAAAAAAAACTTATATAAAAGCAAAAAAAAAACAATGGATTATATATTCTTTTATAAAAAAAAAAAAGAAGAGGAAGAAGAGAGAACGAAAAAAAAAAAGAAAAATTAAGTAAGTAAGTAAGTAAGTAAAAAAACCCCCATACGTAATAAACGCCAAAATATTAAAAAGTGAAATTGTGCAAATGAAAGAATTTTTTCTTCTGCAGTGAGATTTTTTATTGCTCACACTCTTTTTTTCTTTGTGTGTAAATTAGTTAGGTGATGGGGAGAGTGTTTTCTTTCTTTCAAACTCAATTCCGTATGTAAAACAAAACCTCATGCATACTGAATTGAAGGATCACAATAGCTCAAGGTGAAAGTGTTTTGATTATTCCAATTTCCACATATAGACAACTTAAAATACCAATGAATCAATGATTTTTCACCACTTGCTATGTTCCGTAAAATGGATTCCGATAGCATCTTGTTCCGAAAAACCGATAAAGTAATGGTTACGTAGTCTTTCCTTTTTTTTTTCTTTCTATTATATCTCTCTCTTTTTTTTTTCCCTTTCCTACAGGTTGATTGTCCCAACTGTTTTATCTTAGTATATTCTTAGTAAAAATGGCAATTCGATATCTGCATGCACCCTTATATTGCTGTTGATTACGTCTATTCTTTCACTTTATTTGTTTTATTACATCTATCAGATTTATTTGTGATCACACGTTCATCATTTTTAAAATAATCTTCAGCAAATGTTTTTCCATCGGGAATTAATATCCCATATCAGAACCATCATTTCAAAACACACAAACATACACACACACAACCCCACACATTCTTCTTAATCTTGTTCAATCATGACATTTCCGGTGACTTTTCTTCTCTTCTTCTTTTGCAGTTTATCCGAACTATCGGATTTATTCTTACCATTTACTTTCTGTAATTTGTCACTTGTACCGCCACCATTTTCCACTCCTTCTTTTGCCTCGTCATTATCGTCATCTTCATCATCATCTGCATCTTCATCATTTTTGCTATCTGCATCATATTTATCATTGTTATCATCAAACATTCTCTTTGCTCTTTCAATTTTATAACTTTGTTCAAGTATGTATCTAAAACGCGCCAATTTCGCAGGGTCGTTTCGTAGAGTGAATGCCAAATCATTCAATTTCACACGAGTTCTGTTCTGACTTTTAGCAAAATTAACCATTGAATACGATACTTGGGTAATATACTCAACCAATACATCCTCTAATGCATTCACTGTTGCATCAGTGCTAACAGGACGATCACCCATGGCATATAATAAATTCTCAATATCTTTGGTGAATAATTTTTGACGCTTTCTCTTACGTTTTGGATTGGTAATCGGTGGCAAGGTTGCTGGTGGTTTTGACTTCTTGCTTGATTCTGCTGACGTAGATTCTGTTTTGTTTGACGGATTAGTGGACATCGTTAGATACTGTGGTTCAATTAGTTATTAGTGTTGTCAGATATTTTGGTTGACATTTTTTTGTTGTTGTGATTTTTTTTTTCTTCTTTCACTCTGTTGTATTCGTTTGTTCTTGCAGTCAACGCTGATAATTATTTTTTTTTTTGTTTTTACAACATTTCAAATCACAACCAATTGATCATGTCTTGATGAGAGTTGTCAAATCCTTAATTAGATCATTGGTTGCTTCTCCTAAACAACTGCACTATGATCCCACAACTGACCTACATTTAGATTTATCCTATATCACTCCTCGTCTTATAGTCACATCAGCACCTGTATCATCGTATTGGGAATCTTGGTATAGATATCCCTTAGATGATTTATTAGTGTACTTAAATTCTGAACATCAAGATAACTGGCATTTGTTTAATTTCAGAGGTGAAGGTGCTGGGTATTCGTATGAGGAAGTCGCAGGTAAAGTCAGCCATTACCCATTCCCAGATCATTATCCACCTACTATGGAAATTATCATTAATTGTGTGTCCGAAATGGATAAATTCTTAACTACTGACGATAAAAACATAGCTGTTTTACATTGTAAAGCAGGTAAGGGGAGATCAGGAACTCTATGTTGTGCTTATTTAATCTACCAACTAAAAGAGTTGACAGTATCCCAAATTTTGCACCTTTACACACGACGAAGGATGAATGCATTTGCTGGTGAAGGTATTTCAATCATGTCACAAAAGAGATACCTTGAATATTGGTATAAATGTGTACACGAAGAAGCAATCCAAGAAAAATATATGGATTGGTCTGCCAAGGGTGCAACGATCGATTCAATAAGAGTGAAGAATTTGCGCACTACCAATGCGTATAGTTTAGGTCTAACAATTCTGGAGTATATTAAACAAGGCCAAAACACAGTTGTTCGACAATTAGTAAAGATCACCGAGGAGAATAGTTATGTCATTATAGATGACTCGGAGTGGGTAGTTTATAAATTGACTAAGCCTACTCTTGTATCCTCAGAGGATATAATGATTGGTATGAAAAGTTGGTGTTATCTATGGTTCAATATTTTCTTTGAAAGTGCCAACACCAAAGGATCTACCCAAAGGGCTAAGTTTGTCTGGGTTGATTTTGATGGATTCAAAGGGACAAGTCAAAAGGGATCCCGGATCTTTGATGCAATTGAAATAGATTGGTTTGAAAATTCAAATTAATGCCGTACATATATAATTAGATTCAACTATTTTGCTATATATGTGTTTGATATAGATTAACCACCTCGTTTTTCATTATCAATTTCTAACCAAAATTGTTTCAATGCTCTTTGTACCGAATCTAGATGCTTTTTGCTTCCATTATCTCTCATTAACTGTATATTCGATTTGTTATTGGTAAACGGTTTGATGATTTTGATTTCCTCATAGACAATGATCTCATTCTGTTTCCCATTGCCATTAAATCTCACATTCTTTTCACCATATAATTTCACCAATTTGTTGAATAAAAGAGTTGGAATATTGGATTTTCCAGAAGATTGCGAAGATTGGGAAGATCCTTGTTTTGCAGCTTCTTGACCAGTCACGGACTCGGGATTATAATTACTAATTTGAAAATCCAAATTCTTCTTTAAGTCGTCTACGGTGATTTTTGGGAGAACTGAATTATCCTTTTGATTAGATAGGTTTTTTTTATTAAATGGTGGTAAAACTTGAATGCTTTTGATAAATGAAGTATTGATGATTCGATAAGTGGATGGTCCTTCTTTTTTATCTATGGTTTTAAGTATTATTACTTCATTTGAGGATGAGTATGTATATATCTGACCAATTATGATTTGATCCAATAAATTAGTTATTCTAACTTTCAAGTTAATGATCTGTTCGAAATTTTGAAATGACATGATTGAATTTATGCAAGATTGATGGAGACTAAAAATAAAAAATTAAAAATTAAAAACGTTTGATTCTGAGAAATGATTAATGAAAGTGGTAGAAAAACACAGGCACTGGTAGTATGATTAATGACAATGAAGTGTATCTAAAAGATTAATTATTAATGACGAGATATATAAAATTATGCAATGGGTGGAAGTAGTTGAAAGATTGTGATATTAATTGATTGATAATAATTAAAAAATGTTGGAAAATTTTTCTCTTTTATTTTATTTATTTTTATTTTTTCTATGAATTGATTTCATTGATTTTTATTTTTCTTCTGAGCTCCGTTGAAAAGTGGGCCCAAGAAATCAGAAACGGGAACAGCGAAATCAAAAAAAATGGTGGTACCAAAACATTTACGTCGCTTGAACTAACACGACGCAAACCACGACAATAACAACAACAGCAACAACAACAAAAAAAAAAATAAAAGTGAAAGGAAAAGAGGACCCAGAATAAAGTTGGCCTACTTTTGTATATCACATACTTACTTACTCCTGTCATCGACTACATTATCCATAGATGCAGATGCAGCTGGAGGAATTGATTCTGATTGATCAACTAGAGGATCAAATCATTGATCATCCTGATGCATCGACAAAAGAGGAGTTAAATGAATCATTAGATGAAACGTTTCAAAAGAAATTAAACGCAAGAGCGTCACAAATAAGATCAACTAACAATGAACCAAGAAACCAAACTAAAGAAACAAACCAAGATTCTTCTTCGGTTAACTATCAGTTTTTAATTACTAAATCCCATCTAAACTATGAATATCAGGATTATAGTCCATTGGATCAAGAGATCAGTGAATGGTTCACTCTACATGATTTGAAAATTATCGGTGGGTTAAACAATCTAATTCATTGTTATGATTCAGAAAGTGGTAATATTGAAAACATTATCGTTAATATCAAATCCACATCAAAAATACAGGATCTTTCTTCTAATCAAGTTAAAGCTTTGTTATATTTCAGTTTTGGAGAATATGCGTCACAAACCACTAAAACAAACCAATTGGATCAAATAAAGCGAAATAATTTACGATTATTACAAAAGGAAGTTTATATCCCTTTAATCATGATGTTGGAAACATTCATACTGGAAAGGATAGAATTTGATAAACTGCATGATGAAGCTGGTCGTCAATTATGCAGCAAACTTGAATCAGAATATTTCCGTATTCTCACATTATTATTCTTCATGATTAGCACAGCATTGGAACATCGACAAAATGCTATAAAATTCAAGAGATATTTATTTGAATGTGATTTTCTTACAACATTGTTGAAATTTATCGAGCATTGGAAGTGGTATCCAAGTGGATCGCACCGTATTCGATATTTGATTTTGTTAGTCAATAAACTATTATTCTTAGAATTGGGTGATTCGAGCCAATTGAAAGAATGTGACGATTTTCTAGTCAAACTTCACAATGTTCAAAATAAGAAATCAAAAACCAAACTGGATAATACGTTGACATGTTCCCCATTGGATTACTTTGTTTTTCGAGAGGATTTGCTAGACAAATATCCGTTATACGATGAAAACGAACTAAAACCATATGATTTTAGTGCAATTAAAAAAGCACTAGATGAAGATGATACCAATGATGACACATCTAGTATTAATAGTCATTCTAGTACTATTGAAGGTAAATATAGGTACTTCATGGCAGTCCACAGCTCTTCCAATTCACTTTCGAATTTGATTGAACCACCAAAGACTAACAAGTCACATTCATCATTGAGTAAACTACCAACACAAACCATCCACATTGCCACACCAGTACCTTCTCCACAGTTGATGGCGTCTGATTACATGTCTGGCGGAGAGAAGATACGTAGATCATACCAATTGAACCAAGCAATGCCGATGATTTACCCTACTGATGATAACAACAATTTGAATGTTCCATATGCCATGAAAGAAGCGGATGAAATTTTGAAGAAGGCTGTTTACGAGAGTTACTCGACAAAGAGATTATGGAAGGAAAGAGAAATCTTTATGAAACAAGAAAGAGGATTTTCTGATGTCTATGAAGATGAGGAAGGAACTCATAAAGATGAATTTGAGTATGATTACGAACAATTGATGAAGGAGTTTCCAGATCGCCAACAGGAAATTGAATCTATGGAAAGAGTTGAATTGTTATATTCACGCAATTTAAGTCGTTTACATACCATCGTGGAAGTATTAATGGAGACAATCAAAGTAAATCGATTGGACTACAACTTGAATTTCACTGAATTGGAATTGAACCCTGAAACATCGATCATACAGAATAAAAACTCCCGCAGAAATGAAGACACCAAAAGACAAGTTGAATTGGTGTTGTTGCTGCAGTTGGAGGTCAATAATGTTAAAGAATTGACTCTCAAGGCAAGTACTAGTATTATTTTGTTGCTTCTAAAATGGTTTAAAATAAGCCATGTGTTGAAGTCGTACTACTTTTCTTCATTATTGTTTGATCAACAGTTTTTCACCATTTCTTTAGACTATCTCAGCAGATGTTTCAACAATGCTAACTTGCAAAGTACATCCACTACTAAGAAGGATGAATTGACTGAATATGAAATATTAATTAATCAAAATAAGTTGATGAATCCAAAGATTATGTTACCAAAGTGTGATTTTTTCAATAATTGTTTACAGCAAGAAGTGGAGAATCAGAAGTATGTATTGATCAACAAGTCATTCATTCAAGATTTAAAAGAGGAAATTGATGAGAACAATGTGAATCATGTCTACATATCCGATTTCAATGATAATTTTGCTTATATTTTGTCAAATATGTTGAAAATCACAAACAAGATTTTGATCAAGAACCAATCCCAACGAATCTTCACTCTTAATGATTTAAAACCAACTGAATTATACAAGATGATTTTGTTAAACTACGAATGTGATCCATTCAACCAACCAATATTAAGAACATTGAAAAAATTGATTCCGTATCAAGGACGTAAATGGAAGGCTGCAAATATGGATCTTATAAGTCAAATATACTTGAACTTGAAATTATCAATGAAAGATAATTGGTTGAGTGGGAAAGATTTAGAAAGCGATTTTAATAATTCCTTTGATCAAGAAATTGCTTTAAGAGGATTGTTGCAATTTTATAACGTTAGAAGGTACCCTGCTCAAATGGAAATGATGGGTTATCAAGTTAAAGATGATCTTATGAATATCCCCCAATTGGATTTAAATGTCATGAATGAAATTGTCGGTGATAGTGAATTTATATGAAACATTTGGCAATCATTATAATAAATTCCAGTATATAGGTTTAAGACGTGCAAACACCAATTTTTATTCTTTCTCATTCAACGAAAGCAAAAAAAAAAAAAAATTTTTTTTTCGGATTCTTTAGCGAACGAATGAGAATGAAAATTGAGAAGCAACCCTTTTTTTTAAAAAAGACTAGTATATTATTTACTATCAACTAATCTGATACATATACATATATATCATCCATAATGGTCAAGTTAACTCAAATAGACGACGAAACTCAACAACAATTTGAACAACAACAAGTTGCCAAAGAACATATTATTGAAGAATCCGAACAAGAAGAAGATGAAGAATCTGATTCAGATCTTGAAGATGATGAATTTGATTTTGAAAATGAAACTTTATTAGATAGATTAGTTGCATTAAAAGATATTGTTCCACCAGAACAAAGAGAATGTATTTCTAAATTATCATCAAATGTTTCAGATTTATTTAAATCTGGATTTAATAATGGTGGTAAATTATTATGGAGTTTAACTTCAACTACTTTATTATTAGGTGTTCCTTTAGCTTTAGCAATTTTATCAGAAACTCAATTACAAGAAATGGAAAGAGGTATGGCTTTGGAAAAATCTGCTCAAGATGTTTTAGCTCCTGGTTCTGAAGCTGCTTTTGGTGGTGAAAATAAACAATAATTATTTTGAACCAATTTGATTTGCAAAATGAAAGCTTGTATATATATAATAAAATTAACAAAAAGAGAAAAAGAAGAAGAAGAAGAAGAGATGATGGTCATGATAATGATGTTTTCTTTTAAGATATAGGGAAATTACTTCTAATAAGAAAATGATTGATGTTTTTAGTATCGTTTCTAATACATATTTATATTATCTATGTTTAAAATATAGAAATAGAAAAGAATATAAAATCAACCAAAAATAAAAAAATAAAAAAATAAAAGAATACAGTTGTAACAAAAATCTAGTTAAAAAAATTAATCTAGTGTACTTTCTTGTGTTTAATAGACAAGGCATAAATGTCCAAATAGTTTGTTATTTCATAAATGATGTCAGCAACAAAAATAGAGTGAATACCTAAAGTAACACCACAACCCAACCAACTAACAGCATGTAAGACTTTTGCAGTACCATATCCATAAAATCCAATTAAAAATTTACTTATAAACAATTGAACAATTGGAATAATCATTGGGTATTGAATATATGGGAATTCTTGTAATGTTAAATGAGCTAAAATGATTCTACCAACCGAAAATGCAATAGTACAACCAATTGAAATAATCAATGGAAATCCATAATCAGAAAGTACTTGTGGATAAATCCAAATGTATAAAACAATGAATCCATAGTAAATGAAAAATGGATATAATCCATGATATGCTTCAGCAGTTTCTTTATTTGCAAGTTTATTACTGGTATGTTCTTTATTCTTGTAATATTTAGCAACATTAGACATAGCAGATGCAATATTGAAATATAATGATGCTAAACCAATAACAACATAAATGATTGAAGTGTCAATTTGAACATAATCATAACCTAAACTTGTTAAATTCAATTCAAATAAATTGATTGTCCAAATATCAGGACCAAGAATACCAGTGATAATATAAACAACACAAATCATAAGAATCCCTTCAACAGGTCCACTAAATTTACTTAAAAATAAAGTATGAGTATGATATTCTTCCCAAGTAGAACAATAAAAATTACAAACAGAAGCAAATTGACTTAATAAAAATAATCCACCATAACCCATTTTTAAAACACTTGCAAATACAATTGATCCAAAAGTAGTATTTATAGCATCAATAGAATGATCAAACAATTCACCCAATGGACCACTTTGTTTAGTTCTTCTAGCATGTGCACCGTCACATCCGTCAAATGTTTGATACATAAATAATCCAAAAGCATAAAAAAAATAACACCAAGTTGGTTGAGTTTCATTTAAATATGGATCATAATAAAAGACACATAATAAATTACCAATAATGAAAAATAATCCTAATAATGTAATTACATTAGGTGCCATCCATAATGGGAATATTTGTACAAACCAATTCCACCATTTTTTCAAAATATATTTTGATATAATTGAATGATCTTCAGATGAATATTTATATAGTTTCAAGTTATGTAACTTGTTTGCTGGAATGAAGATACCCATGATTGGAAAAGATAAGATAAGGATGGTTATACGACTAAAGTATAAGATTTAAAATAAAAGGAAAAAAGCAACAAATATATATATTTTTAAAAAAAAAAAAAATCACTTTACTGGAAATGATGTGAAATTTTGTTGGGAAGAGAAAGAAAGAAAGAAAGAAAGAGAGAGAAAAAAAAAAAAATCAGAATCACGTGGGACAAATCAATAGCAATAACAAACAATATACAAATGCAACGCGAGAAATTATGACATGAAGGGCTGTGCTACCAAGTCATTGTTTTTTCATACAACCGATTCTTAAGATTGTCATGTAAACTATAGAGGAGAATATGTAATAGTCTAATCAGTGGGTGATGCTTTGTACGACCCCTTCATTGTTGATTTTCAGAGCCGTGGTATCCCATTAATCATGGTTGGAAAGTATACGACATGTGAGGGGATATAGTTAGTTTTCAAAATAGGATATCATCCCCAGGATCTACCAATATATTCAGTATGAAATCTTACTTCTGTTATAGCTTTTCTTGTTAAAGTATACTTTGAATTGAAACTCAATGTGTGCGGCTCTCTTCCCCCCCCCCAATTTGGTATTGCTAGTCGTGTGCATCCTACCAACAATTGAAATTTTCTATGAACGTTGTTGCCAGAATGAAGCAAACAAAAAAGAAAAACCAGAAGAGAAAAGAGAAAAATATTTTCAACTAATATGGACATCTAAGAACGGGCCCCAATAATCATGGTATGTCTAACTTACACCAACAAGACGTATATATATATATATATATGGAAAATCATCAATACTAACACTCATATATTTTTTTTGTATTAGCTTCCATTGTATTTATTAACTGCTGCTAAGAATAAGCCAATTTTAATTGAATTAAAAACAGGAGAAACATATAATGGAGATTTAACTAATTGTGATTCATGGATGAATCTAACATTACATAATGTGATACAAACAAATTCAAATGGTGATGAATTCACTAAAATACCCGAAATTTATATTCGAGGAATGCATATTAAATATTTACGTATTCCTGATGATATTATGTCATATGCTAAAGAACAAAGTATGATAAATATGGAAAATAGAAATAGATATCAAAAAAGAAGAACTGGAGGTGGTAATGGAAATGATCATCAATATCAAAATAGAAGATATGGTAATAGACAATATCAAGGTAATCAAGGTCAAAGTGGTGGTTATTGGCGTAAATAAATAAATTGATTATGGTATTATTCTTTTTAATGAAGTATTGTTCCTCCCTTTTGTTTGATGTTCAAGTTTATTGTTTTTGATAAATGTTTTATTATTGAGTTTTTTTGATTTTGATTTTTTTTTGGCTTTTATATATATATCAATTATTGATTAATTAAATCCGGAGTATAATTCAATATACATATGTTGGGATTTTTTGTAATGGGTTTAGTGTTGGATTTGACTTTTCACTATCCATACTCTATATTATACATTATTGGATCTCGCATAGGTCTTTTTGATATGCAAGGAGTGTTTGAATGATGATTACCGGTCATAAATAAAAACGGTAATAAAAGACTTATAGAAAAAAAAAAATATAATCTAAATATCTATTTTCGAAGGAAGAATTCTTTTGTTCTTTCTTATTATACATATACATATTCTTCTCGTAGAACTGGATTCTATTTAACAACTAGTCATGAATCATTATCCAACCAGTGATGCATCTCATATATCAGTCAATCCATATTATACCAACTCAATAACAATAACAAAATGTAAACTATTACCAACAAAAACAATACCCAGGGGCCAATTCCGTGGATACAATGATATTCGTAGATTCCAATGTTATAGTGCCCAATGCAATTTAAACTTTAATGAATATCAATTATGTAAATATTGTGCTCACGTTCCATATGTTCCACTGCCATTGAGGTATCAAGATACTGGTAGAAATTTTTCATCCAATAATACCACGCCGTCAAATAATGTTAGTCAATATCGGTGTGTCAAGATTGATTATATCCCCACAACTCGAAGTAATGCCATGGCTAAACGAAATACTAACAATAAGTTAACTATACCGAATAGTGCTCCCACATCCAGAGGACCAAATACCGGTGGTGGTGGTGTTGGTGGTAATGGTGGAGGAGGAGGAGACTTGAGTAGTAAATTTAACGATTTTTGGGATCATTTGGAGCTGGGGAAACTACAAATCAAACAAAGATTAATGGACATTAAAAACCAACGCAAACTAACGTTCAAGAAACGATCATGTTCAGCTCCCCCAATGCTAAGTGGAAACACAAAGAATAGTAACAACAGTGGTGGTAGCATCAGCAGTCATAGTAGTAACAATGAGAATATATATTATTCATCTAGGTAAATCACCTTCTGGAATATTCCAACTCTTCAAATCAGGACGGTATTTGACCTCACTTATTAAGCCATTTAATTCACGATATGAGTCGTCCAATTTTCCCATTTCTTCTTCATCATCCTTCTTTCTCGCTTCATAATATTCCTTGAGTTTCAAATTATACCCATATTTGTTCTTTGGATTATTGAAAATATCATCAATACATTGTTCAGGTGAATATGTCAACAAAGTGTATAGTTCCGGATCCCAGCTACTTTCCAAAATCTTGCAATATAATTGACTAACAATTGGATCCATTAGAATTTGTTGTTGTTGTTGCTGCTGTTTTGGTTGCTGTTCTTGTTGTCCTCCATTCTTGTTGTTGGCCAAAGATAAATTTGACTCTGTTTTGGATTTATCAACAGATCCCAGTTGTGCTTGTCCATTTTCAACTGGAGTTGACGGAGAACTTGGAGGCGAATTGTTAAAAGTGCCATTCTCTCCAAATACATTGTTAATTCCATTGAAAATATTCTTCTTCTCAAATTGTGGCACATTGAAATTGTTTTTCCTAGTAGTTGGTCTAGATGATAAATTGGATGTATCAGTTCTGGAATTTACACTGCTTTGGTTATCTTGTATTTGTAATTGAGTATGGAAATCGAAATTTGGGGGTAGCTCGTTCAATCCAATGGTAAGACTTAAGATCGAATTTACTTTAGAATCATTCAACAAATATTTGGTAGTGATCATGTCATCAAAATTTAAATATTCAGATAAATTGATTTCCAATCTACCCAATTCTGTAATTTGAGACAGTCCACCAACAAAGCTCTGGGCACTTGCATCATTAACATAAAATATCTTGAGCAACAAATACTTATTAGCAACCAAGTTCCCTTTCTTTCTAATATTAAATTTCAAATTACAACTTAATTTATAATTGAAATTACATTTGAAATTGTGAAGCTTCTTACGAGACGTTGTAGCTGAAACATTACCAGACAGGGAAGAAGTTGTACTTTCCTTCATACCGGAATTCTGACTTGTCGAAAGTGAAGTAGTGAAATCGTCAAACTTGTTGAGAAAGGTTCTACTAGTAGTTGATGGAGCCATTATGGTAGATGAAATGGATTTTGATACTTTGCTATCACTGTGGTGTCTGCTACCATCCTTAATCTGTAATTCAATGAAACAAGAACCATTAATTTGAGGAACATTGGTCAAGTCATTGATTATTAAATTGAATGAAAACTTAGGTTTAGATGACGATGAATGCATTTGGATTTCGGAATATTTATCTGTCAACGGTGTGTATAATATTTGGACAACCTAGGTTGTTGATGTTGATGTTGATATTGCTATTGGGTACTTTTTATTTTCTGGCAAGCCCGGTATCGTTCGCAATCTAGTGTGGGAATTTCTTCCATTTTTCAGTTTTTTGTTTTCCCCCCTCCGAATCTTCCACACCAGTCACGTGATCGCGCACATATACTATCGTGAGCAAATAATCCCTGTAGAAAATGTACGAAGCAATTTGCAACCAAATGGCAAACAGCAGGGATAATATATATATATATATATATCAGTATAATCAGATTAGATGATAATCGGGACAAAATTTCAAAGAGCCTTTTTCTTTCTAGGTCAATTGAAGGTGGAAATTGTTTTTTAAAGTATAGCCTTTTAGTTGAAGTATGCTTATCACAAGATAGTTTAAATTTTATTCTAATTTCTCAATGGGGAGAAATGATCGACAATTTTAAATATCAAATCCTACACTAGTGGGAATGGAATGGTAAAGTCGTGCAATAGTTTGAGCAATTGTGACTTACTCTGTTCAGTCAAAGGATTATCCCTTTTGTTAACATGTTCTAGTTTCTCGACTCACCCCCCCATTCATCTAATGTGGTTTCTTTGTGTGGTTATGCTAAGATTTTTCCTTATTATCAGTTGTGTCGCGATCGTGTAAATTCGTCTGACATGGCAATAACAAATTAGTCGAGAGCCAAAAAAAAAAAAAATAATACAAAATTATCAACCATCCCATCTTCAATGTACAAAACCCAATTAACTTCTTTGTTGATTTTCAATATAAAATAAAAAGTAAGGGGACAAGGACGAGGAAGTTGATGATGATAATGATTATGCATATAAATAAATAAAAAAAAAAATTTAAAGTAAGCATGGCATTTTTTTTTTTATGAGGCGACGAGGCGGCAGCTGAAAATCGATTCTAATTTCAATAGACAGGTCTAGGTATAACAAATGACTGGAACTGCGTAAATCAATAAAAACTCGACATACTACATTGACTATTTACTAAAAAAAAAAATAACGTCCAGACTTGCTGTGTACTCCGAATTTTAATTCGATTTTGCACATCATTGTTTTGTTGGTTGTGAAAGGGAGCTTTGTAATTTGAAAGGTAAAAGGGCATGTGTAACCTAGAAAGAAAGGAAAATTTAGCAGTACCACCATGTTGAAAGATGGCTTTATTACTTCGTAGCTATCAAGTATCAACAACAGTGAATCACATATATTATGACAGTTTCTCTTGAATAAATCTAATCTCTTGAATTGTTGTTACAGGGAACGTCACAAAGTTGAGGAGTAAGAGGATGATTGTTTCAGATTTGGAGGTTTCAATACAGAATGTTTGGTTTGATTGAAGAAACAGTAGAAACAAAATCTTCTCTTTATTGCTGCACAGCATCCTTTTTGCTTAATTATTTTGAATGTGTTTAAGCTTTAAAAAAATCAAAACAGACGAAGGAATAAACTTTGACAGTATATAGTTAAACACGCTTTGAATAAATTGAACAAAAACCTTGTCTCGTGTATTATACTGTTTCTTAGAGAATGATAAACCAATAGTACCAACATGCCGTGTGCTAGTGGTAAGTTATAACTGTACATATAAAATATTTCTGCCCGTTGTAATGTTAAAAGAAAAAAATGGAATAGCCTCTCTTTGTTGTGTTTGTCCTTTGTCTGTGTGTAATTCAATTCCATTCCATTCTGTGGTACTAAATTTCGGTCGTAGTGTACGCCCGACCCCCCGTCCACACAGAAACACAAGACAGGAGGACAAGAACAGGAAAAAAAAAATTTATGCAAAAACAACAAACGAAAATTAAAAACAAAAGATTTTTTTTTTTTAATATATTGTACTTCTTTTTCTTTTTACTTCTTTATATCATATTCATTTCATTTTATTTATATTCTTTTGATCAATAACAAAATATCCCACCCCTTCCATTGACTCAGTGCCCTTGTATACCATTCACAGCTTAGTTTACTAATCATTACCACCAGAAGTACTGTATTATCTACTACTAATTTATCGCGATTGAATTCAATAATAAATTGTGTATCGCCCATCTTAAACTATGTACACCACAGTAGAACAGCATTCACAGCCCCTGCTGCTGCTGCTGCCACAACGTCATCATTCTAATTATTTTCCATCAACTTTTAAAACTACAACTCCGTCTCAACAACTTCCAGGAGAACATCATAATCCAACTAAAGAGATTTCAAGTTCATTTCAACAATTATCATTAAACATTCCGCCTCCAGATACAAAGAAGTTCAATTTCATATGTTTATTTTTCAATCATATTTTAAAATTGAAGGATCCTACGATAATTTTAGAGAAAGAAAAAGACATTCTGAAATTTAATAAACTATGTAAGATTGAAACAGATGAAGAACAGCAACCAGTGGAGATTTTGAAAAATTTGGTGTTTCCACCAGATATATGGATACGAGATGAAATCAAAGTAAAAGATATAAAAATCAAGTCCACAATGTTGAACGAAGTGAATGAAATGATTGAAACAGAATTGAAAGACGTGAACGACCAATCTACCTTTGAAGAGATTACACTTAATTACTATGCAAAACTTTTGGTGGCTTATAAATTTTATGACATTCCAATCAGAGTCTCACACCCAACTCCATATTTAGCGCATAATCGAGTGTTGGAAGAGGAAGAAGAGGATGGTAATAGAAGTCCTGATTTTGATTTTGGATTCTTGGAAAAACCAGTGTACCGTACATCGTCAAACCAATCCAGTGGTTCTTCTAAATCCAAAGATAGACGATCAAGCACCGGTAGTAATTTATCAAAGAAAAGATTCCTGTCATTTTTAGGAGGAAGTACATCTACATCTTCTCCAGAAAGTTCTACTCAACCACCTTCAATCCCACAATCAAACATGTCCAATAGTCCTCCACCACAACTACAATATCCAATACTACCACCTCCACAAACCAGCCAGCAGCAGCAACAACAACAGCAACAACAACAACTGGTGCAGCAGCAGCAACGACATTCACAACATTCGACATCATCCTCATCACCAAAGCAACAACATACACCATTAGCAACTACGTCATCCTCACCTACATTACCACAAGAAGGAACTTTCAATAGTATACTAAGCAAAAGTAAATTATATGGAAGAATTAAAAAACATCGTGAATCACAGGCATCAATGACTTCAAACATGTCACTGCAAAGTCTTGGTAGTAATAACAGAAATAGTGTTAGCACGAATGCGACTACAACAAGTGTTGGCTCACGAAGACGAAGCAATTATGCTGTTTCCAGTACTAGTTTAGGTGCAAGTACTTCATTATTGTCATCAGCATCAACCATACATGATGAAACCATTGAACAAAGAGTAGAAAATCTGAAAGATAAATATGAATATTACATTCAAATATTGAGATTATTTAAAAATAGTGAAAAGATATTACGTGTTTTGGTCAATAGTCATAATATCAATAATAAATTATTGAAGTTTATTGAATTCATAAAGAAACGATTATTGAAATTTATAATGATTGATATTATGTCTATGATGTTGACTTATTGTGATTTACAATGTGTTAATTTTTATAATGTTAAATAGAAAAAAAATATAAAAAAAAAACAATTCTTATGTATTTTTGATTTAATTTATATTACACTTAATTCCAATACTAATACTAATAATAACTCTAACTCTAATTCTAATGATGGGTTATCATTTCTGTAGCAAAAGTATTAAAATTTCGTTTCATGAAATTTAACGCGTTCTTGTTAAATTGCATCGCCTTGCAGTTTATAAAAATAAAACAAAGGTTCCATATACATTTTGTGTGACACTTATTACAAGGCGTTATTACACGTCATTCTTGAAAAAAGAGTGTACAGTATTTTCAGGAATGTACAGTGTAAAGAATTAAATACCAGTTGTACAACAACACTGTTCATCGTCAATGAAATCTCCCAAGTGATTTCCAAATTCTATATCATAAACTTGTATCTGTACATGCCTGGTGATCTCATATACTATTAATATTATTAAGTACTCTCCTTTGTTTTTTTGTTTCAAATTATTATTTTTATTTAGTCATTTATATATATATTTCTCTAAATACAAGGGTTTAGAAACCTAATTTACTTTACAATAGAGCATAACTTCGTTTAATCAACTTCTTCCATAGCAGATTCAACAGCTGGTTCATCAGTAGTAGCAGTGGTGGTGGATTCTGGTTCAATAGCAGTTTCTTCAGAATCATCATCAATGTTCAAACCCAAAGCAATCAATCTGTTGATTCTGTGAGCAAAGTTGGATGGTTCATCCAAAGTGAAACCAGAAGTCAACAAAGCAGTGTCAAACAATAAAGTGGTCAAGTCCTTAACGGTCTTGTCTTCAGCACCATCTTCTTCAACCTTCTTTTTCAATTCTTTGATAATTGGAGATTTTGGAGAAATTTCAAAAGTCTTCTTGGAGGACATGTAAGAAGACATGGTGGTGTCTCTTAAAGCTTGGGCCTTCATGATTCTTTCCATGTTAGCAGACCAACCAAATTGACCAGTTCTAATAGCAGCTGGAGCATCAACCAATTTGTAGGAAACAACAACTTTTTCAACTTGGTCACCGAGAATGTCTTTCAAAGCTTTGGTCAATGGTTCAAATTCTTTGATTTCTTTTTCTCTAGTGGATTTTTCTTCTTCGGTTTCTTCCAAATCGAAATCTTTGGTAATATCAACCAATTTCTTGTCTTCAAATTCCTTCAATTGAGTCATGGCGTATTCATCAATTGGGTCAACCATGAACAAAACTTCAAAGTTCTTAGCTTTCAAAGCATCCAAGAATGGGGATTTTTCAACAGCCTTGATGGATTCACCAGTGATGTAGTAAATGTTCTTTTGGTGTTCTGGCATTCTGGTAACATAATCAGACAAGGAAGTCATTTCTTCGGTGGATTTGGTGGAGTAGAATCTCAACAATTTAGCCAAAGCTTGTCTGTTTTGAGCATCTTCATGAATACCCAACTTGATGTTCTTGGAGAAAGCAGTGTAGAATTGGTTGAATTGTTCTTGATCTTCGGAAATTTCGTTGAAAGTTTCAATCATCTTCTTGACAATGTTCTTTCTAATAACCTTCAAGATCTTGTTTTGTTGCAACATTTCTCTGGACAAGTTCAATGGCAAATCTTCGGAATCGACAACACCTTTAACGAAACTCAACCATTCTGGAATCAATTCTTCAGCATCATCGGTAATGAAGACTCTACGAACGTACAATTTAATGTTGCTCTTCTTCTTCTTGGATTCAAAAGCATCAAATGGAGCTCTCTTTGGAACAAACAAAATAGCTCTGAATTCCAATTGACCTTCAACGGAAAAGTGTTTGACAGCCAATGGGTCTTCCCAATCGTTAGAAATGGATTTGTAGAAAGCATTGTATTCTTCTTGGGTGATGTCAGATGGGTTTCTGGTCCACAATGGTTTGGTCTTGTTCAATTCTTCAGTTTCAGTAACTTCTTCCTTGATCTTCTTGGTCTTCTTTTCCTTGGTTTCTTCTTCTTCATCCTTAACTTCTTCTAATTTTGGTTTCTTGTCATCTTCACCAGTAGCTTTATCTTCGTCTTCAGCCAAAGTTTCTTCTTCTGGAACTTCTTTTTCAACTTCTTTGGTGACAACCAATTGGATTGGGTAAGCAACGAATTCAGAGTGTTTCTTGACAACTTCTTTAATTCTCTTTTCTTCCAAGTATTCCAATTGATCTTCTTTCAAGAACAATCTCAACATGGTACCACGGCCCAATCTTTCATTGGTTTCATCCAAGGTAACAGTGAATTTACCACCAGCATTGGATTCCCAAATGTATTGTTCGTCATCATTATGTTTGGAAACAACTTGAACATGGTCAGCAACCAAGAACAAAGAGTAGAAACCAACACCAAATTGACCAATCATGGAAACATCAGCACCAGCACTCAAAGCTTCCATAAAAGATTTAGTACCAGATTTGGCAATAGTACCCAAATTGTTGACCAAATCAGCTTTAGTCATACCAATACCTGAATCTCTGATTTCCAAGACTTTTTGGTCTTTGTGAGGAGTAATTCTAATAAACAATTCTGGTTCGGATTCCAATTGAGATGGATCAGACAAAGCTTGGTATCTAATCTTGTCCAAAGCATCAGAAGCATTGGAGATCAATTCTCTCAAGAAAATTTCTTTGTTGGAATAGACAGTGTTAATGATCAAAGACATCAACTGAGAAATCTCAGCAGTGAATTCATGGGTTTCAACTTTTGAATCAGACATTTTGCTTGAAGGATTAAGTGGTTAAAAAATGAATTTGTAGATTAAAGAAGAAAGGAATATAAAAGTTTCTAAAAATTTTTTTTTTATTTTTTTTTCAAGAATGGGAAGGGAAATTGTTGGAAAATTTATATTGGCAACCAAGGCAAATAAAAAAAAAAATGGTGTTTCTCGCATTGCTGGAAAATTTTTGTGATGGAACCCCATAGAACAATTTGGAATTTTCTAAGAATGTCTGTGTGTTTATATACAGGAACTTGCATATACAACCTATATAACCACTTCTTCTGTTTCTATACCGCAATCTATACAACGTCTCTTGATTGTATTCTTGTCAATTGTCACTGGTGCTGACCAATCATGTTCATGTTTCTCTCCTAATGATTTTCCATCTCGTAGTTTTCTAGTATATTCTTCAGCTCGAGTACGTTTTCTCATTTCTCGGAGTTGATCCTGATATTTCTTTTCTTTACGTTTGGCTTTATTCAATTCTCTTCTTTCCCATTCTTGATCTAATTGTTCTGGGCCTCCCCATTTTTTCCAAGCAAACTCTTCCACTTGAAATCTCACAAACAACTGCATGTTACTGTATCCATGCGGGTTGGGTTTCTCGATTCTTTTTAACAAATCCTTATCAGCAATTTCTGGTTCTGTCAATAAGTAATCCTCTTTAGCCTCTGTCTTTGTCAATAATGAATATTTGTCAGGTTTAGCCTTGATACATTTACGACAGGCTCTAACATCAAAATTAGTGAACAAGTTCTTGTCAATATCAACAGAATCACATTCGAAACAACGCGGCATGGCACTCAAATCCATCGGTGGTGGTAATTCTTTTGACTGTTGTTCCTTCTTCCAATCGTTTAATGTCTTTGCATCTTCTTCGCCAGGTTCTGGTCCATCATAAATAAACCCACCCTTTGTATCTTTCATAGTGGCAAAATCATATTCAATATAATCCTGCTTACGAATTGGTGGCGGTTGGAATTTGTTTTTCTTTACTGCTGGTTGCTGTTGGTGTTCTGATGGTTCACTTTGGGCTGGTCTTTTACCATTTTTCTGTTGTAGTCTTTCTAATGCTCTTTTCCTGTTTGCTTCTATTCTCTTCCTTTGTTCATCGGTTAATGCAGGTCTAGCTGGTGTTGACATGATATCCTATTGCTTGTAATTACTTATCAGAAGGAGTTTATATCTTCGCGTTGCCGATATGTCTGGTTTTTCATAATGCGAAAAGTCGTGCGACGTTACTCAAATCATTTTGATTTTTTTTTTTAGCTGTCAGATAAAACGACGTTTCAAACCACGATCTGTTTTTACTGTAGTTTTGACACCAAATTTTCATTAAAATTTTCAAATTTATTTTAATACTGTAGATAACAGATTACAGTGGACTATAGTCATTTCTAACACCATGACTACTGAGCGATGTCAAACTGTTGTTTGTTCAGTCAACTAAGATTCCCAATTAGGAAATCATCTCCGCAAATTGCCCCACTATTCAAATGTGTAGCTGTGATATAAAAAGAAAAAATCTCCAACAAATTTTATTTTTCCGTTTTCTTTTCACGTTCATTTTGCCAATGATAATTTAATAAATAGTAATACAAATCACAAGATTAAATACATAAACTCCAATTTCCTGATTCTTGATAACTATTTTCTTTTCTCCTGTTACTTCTTTTTTTTATATTACTTTCTACCTTTTTCTTTCAAACAGCGTTCTTAATTTGTATACCTTGGTGTGACTATGGCTAAATCTTATAAATTACCAAAACCGTCAAAAATCGCACCCATTATCAGAGGTAAGACCTCGGCTAAAACAAAAGGAAGTACACAACCACCAGAGTCGCCACCAGCCTCAGCTAAAATTACAGCACCTCAATTGGAACCAGTAGAACCTACTTCTGATAGTGAAATACCATCCACCAAAGTTTCAGTTCGTAGAACAAGTACTACTTCTTCAAAGACAATTACTGATGATTCCATAAGTGCCACTTCAACCGACCAAATGAAATCTTCAACAAACGAAGCTGAAATACCAAACCCAAAACCAGAGTCAGTTGTTGCACCAATGACAAAACCAGTTGAAGATGACAAATTGGAAGATCACACTAAATTAGAAACTGCCGAGTCTTATATCAACGTTCAAAAGGAAGCAGCAATACCAGGAGAAACAAAATCAGTAGTTTCCTCCAAAACTGCTTCAGTTCTTGAATACACTCCATTGTCAGAAATTTCAGGAGGTGTTAAGAAAGTTGTTGATGGATTTCATACTGGTAAGACTCATCCATTGGAATTTAGATTGAAACAGTTGAGAAATTTGTATTTTGCCATGAAAGACAACCAAGAAGCTATCTGTGAAGCATTGGCTAAAGATTTCCATCGTGCTCCATCAGAAACAAGAAATTATGAATTAGTCACTGGGTTAAATGAATTGTTGTATACGATGACACAACTTCACAAATGGAGCAAGCCATTACCTGTAGATGCATTGCCAATAAACTTGAAGACAAATCCAGTATACATTGAAAGAATTCCAGTTGGTACAGTTTTGGTAATTTCTGCTTTCAATTACCCATTTTTTGTTTCTGTTTCACCTATTGCAGGTGCTATTGCTGCTGGTAATTCTGTTGTTTTCAAACCATCTGAGTTGACACCACATTTCACTAAATTATTCACTGAATTGTTAACCAAAGCATTAGATCCAGAGATATTTTACGTTGTCAACGGGGCAGTTTCTGAAACCACTGAATTGTTGAATCAAAAATTTGACAAGATTGTCTACACTGGAAGTGACATAGTTGGTAAAATAATTGCTAAAAAAGCAGCTGAAACTTTAACTCCAGTAATTTTAGAACTTGGAGGGAAATCACCTGCTTTTGTTTTGGATGATGTTTCTGATAAAGATTTACCTGTTATTGCTAGAAGAATTGCCTGGGGAAGATATGCTAATGCTGGTCAAACTTGTATTGGTGTTGATTATGTGTTAGTTGCCGAATCTAAACACGAAAAATTCATTCAAGCTTTGAGGAATGTAATCGAGAATGAGTTCTTTCCTAATATTGATCAAAATAGTAATTTCACTCATATGATTCATGAAAGAGCATTCTTGAAAATGAAGAAAATTCTTGACACTACAGCTGGAGAGATTATCATTGGAGGTAAATTGGATTCCGAATCCAACTATGTTTCACCAACGGTTATTGACAATGCTAGTTGGGATGATTCCTCTATGAAAGAAGAAATATTTGGTCCAATTTTACCAATTATTACTTACACCGATCTTAAACAAGCATGTAATGAAGTTATATCCCATCATGATACTCCATTAGCTCAATATATTTTCACTAGTGGATCAACATCTAGAAAGTACAATTCCCAAATCAATACAATTTCTACAATGATTAGATCTGGTGGATTGGTGATTAATGACGTATTGATGCACATTTCACTTCATAATGCACCATTTGGAGGAGTTGGTAAATCAGGATATGGTGCATATCATGGTGAATTCTCATATAGAGCATTCACTCATGAAAGAACAGTGCTTGAACAACATTTATGGAATGATTGGATTATCAACTCAAGATATCCTCCTTATTCAAATAAGAAAGAAAGATTAGTAGCTAGTTCTCAAAGTAATTATGGTGGTAGAGTTTGGTTTGGACGTAAAGGTGATGTTAGAATTGAAGGTCCAACAACTTTCTTCTCTGCTTGGACTAATGTTCTTGGGGTTGCAGCTGTTGTACGTGACTTTATTGGTGCTTCTATGTAGAGTCAGTTAGTCTTTGGTTTCTTAATTACTTCAATAAAAAAAAAAAGCAATTCTAAGTTTATTGATTCTGTATTGTAGGAAACACTCACAATGTAGTAATAGGCACTTTCAACTATAATAACCACTGGGCAATTTAATTTGCATTCTCGAATGAATGATTACATGTAATTGATCTTTCATTGGTTATGAAGCATCCCAAATCATAACAACTGTTACTACTAGAAGCAAACATTATGCTGCCACATTTTACTAAAAGCGTTACTACAATAAACCCAATTAACATACTCACATCAGTAGCGTCATTATTAACACTTATTACAATATGAACTTGCGCCTCTTGATTCAATCTAGATTACCGAAACTTCCATTATCACAACTCTAAGGGTTTCAAAAAAAAGAAGATAAGAACAAACAGTATCGGAATGGAATTATAACAATGTGGCTTGTTAAACTATTCTATTACTCATATACATTCAAAATCATCAATATTTTCAACTTTATCCGCTTTACTATAGTAAACTAGAGTCGTGTGTTTACCGGTAGCTATGATGCATTAAACTTACAGTGCAAAAAAATATTCTCAATTTGATTGCGCAAATCACATCATCGGTTGAAGATAGCCACCACAGTTTTATTTTTTTTTTTTTGGTTAGTATTATTATTCGGGTTTTCTTTGTGATTAATTGGATTCGTTAATGTGTGTTATTGTTTATCGGCAATTCAAATGGACAAAACAATTTCGACCTGAAATTATGTGATTAATTGTTTGCTTAATGTTACTGATTATGAGTTGAATTATGCCTGTGATCCACATTCATTAATGTGGAAGATGAAATAAGATATTTTTGGGAAATAGAGATGCCTATAAAATTAAGTCAATATGCCCAGAGATTAAAGATGTAGCTTTTATTTTTTTTTCTTGACAATACCAAGAAATCATTAACTCAACAAGAGATCTTACAAGATAACTATGGCTATTGACGAAATACCTGAAACTAAGAATGGATCATATGGTCCAGAAAGAAATTCAATTGATTCATCATCAGATGAACAAAATAGTAATTCACCATTAACTAAAGATTTTATTGGTACCAAAGTTTCATATGTTGAATCTGGTTCTAGTTTAGAATCTGAAGAATTTTTAAAGAATCCATTTTTAGATCCAAAAGTAGAAGAATATTATCGTGCATTATACGAAGAATCTAAATATGAAAGTTATCTGGCATTTGATCCTCAATTTGAATGGACTAAAGAAGAAGAAAAGAAAGTAGTTAAAAAGATCAATATTAGGGTTGCTTTGACTGCTTGTATTTTATTTGTTGGATTACAAGTTGATCGTGGTAATATGGCCCAAGCTGTTCTGGATAATTTATTAGAAGATTTAGGTATGACTACAAATGATTATAATACTGGTAATACAATTTTCTATGTTTGTTTCTTATTGGCTGAAATTCCTTCTCAATTGATTTCTAAAGCTTTAGGTCCTGATATTTTTGTTCCTACTCAAATGGTTGCTTGGAGTATTGTAGCCATGTGTCAAGCAGCATTAAGTGGGAAGGCATCTTTTTATGTCACCAGAGCTTTGATTGGTATTTTAGAAGGTGGTTTTATTGCTGATTTAGTATTATGGTTAAGTTATTTTTTCACCAGTAAGGAGTTACCCGTTAGATTATCTTGGTTTTGGACCACTTTATCATTAGTTCAAATTGGTACTTCATTGTTAGCCTTTGGTATTTTACGTATGAGAGATGTTGCGGGAATGGAAGGCTGGAGATGGTTGTTCTTACTTGAAGGTATATTCACTTTATTAATTGGTATTTCCGGATTTTATCTTATGGTTCCATCAGCTGTGCAGACCAAGAATTGGATGCATCCAAAAGGATGGTTTACTGAACGTGAGGAGAAAATTGTTGTTAATCGAATTCTTCGTGATGATCCAAATAAAGGATCAATGCACAATCGTCAAGCTATTACCCCTGTTGCACTTTGGAAAAGTTTGATAGATTATAATCTTTGGCCAGTTTATGCTATTGGACTTGTTGCATATATTGGTACTAGTACTTTCACTTCTTATTTTACTTTGCTTAACAGACAACTCGGATTTTCAACTTTCGACACTAACTTGTTAAGTATTCCACCAGCTGTACTTCATATTATTTTCTTGTTACTTATCACTTGGTTTTCTGAGAAAATCAATGAACGTTCATTTGTGGCATTGATTGCTCCACTTTATTCAATTCCATTAATTGCTATTATTAGATGGTGGCCAGGAGCTGGTAAACAAATCTGGTCTACTTATGTTTTGAATATGTTATATTTGGGTCAACCTTATATTCATGCAATTTGTGTTTCTTGGGTATCTAGAAATTCGAATCATGTTCGAACCAGATCAATTTCATCAGCAGTATACAATATGTTTGTTCAATTGGGTTCAATTATTGCCCTGAATATTTATAGGAAAGATGATTTACCTTTATATCACCGTGGGAACATGCAATTGTTTGTTATAGCTGTGATTTTAGTGCCAATATTACTTTTAACAAAGGCATATTATGTCTGGCAAAATAAGAGAAGAGATAAAGTTTGGAATAGTATGTCTGAAGAAGAAAAGCATGCATATAGAAATACCACTAAGGATGAAGGGTCAAAGAGATTGGATTTTAGATTTGCTCATTGATTAATCGTAAGAAATATTTATTTCAGTTATCAATTTAAAGATTACTTATCAAATCTAAGTAGAATCCATAACTTTGTTTTTTTATTTTATTTTTACTATTTAACTTTCAATTATTGTCGTAGTTTTTTTTGGTTTGTTTAGTTTATTTGATATTTAGAATAATACAAGTTATATAAATGAAATAAGTTTTTGTAATCCCCTATGTACATCCCATTTTTAATTCCACTCCTCCCTTTTTCTAATCAACTCAATTTCTTATCTATGTTGTCAACTTATTTGAATCTCGTTAGTTCAGGTTGAACAACATATGGCGGTTGCACAGTTAAGCCACCACAGTGCGAAATCTGTTGCAATTTTGTTTTAATTTTCGCAGCATTCATTGTTCAACAAACAATAAGAATCCACAGAGGCGTATAATTTACAGTTTTTTAATCACAACTTTGTTAGGACTGACTTTTATTTCCCTGAGTGTATTGATGTATTCACTAGTTTTGCTCGTTTACCAAGAAATTAAGAAGATAGTATTTTGGTAAAATATCAATATTAATTCAACTCTGAGGCGATTTACCATAGAGCTTATTAATCAAAAATTATCCAAATGGGAGATAATGTGAATTACCAAGAAAAAAGTTGGAAAAAACATGAAAGTACTACCACATGTGTGGATTAGGAATTATGGAGACCTGGATTAACAATTAAAGGTTCACAGGGAATGCCAAATCGTATATAAAGAGGATACCATTCGTCTTGGAATACAACATGAATGATATCTTAAGAAAAAACAAAACACACGAATAAACAATAATAAACAATATGAGTACTGATATTATCAACAGTAACAAAGAGCCTACCAAAGTTGAAGATTCAAAACCTATAAGATCTAGACCATCCGATGACAGTAAAAACAAGTTTGATATAAACACTCAATCAGATAATGATTTGTCATCCCTTGAAAGTGATCAATTAGCTAAAAACCCATTTTTGGATCCTAAAGTTGCTGAATATTATGGTAATTTATATAAATCAAGTAACTATGAAAGTTATTCTGCATTTGATCCTCATTTTGAATGGACTAAAGAAGAAGAGAAGAAAGTTGTTAAAAAAATTAATATTAGAGTTGCTTTAACTGCTTGTATTTTATTTGTTAGTTTACAAGTTCCAAGAGGTAATCTTAGTCATGCAGTACTGGATAATTTATTGGATGATTTAAATTTAACTACAAATGATTATAATTTAGGTAATACCATCTTTAGAGTTTCATTCTTATTAGCTGAAATTCCTTCACAATTGATTTCTAAAGCTTTAGGTCCAGATATTTTTATCCCAGTACAAATTTGTGCTTGGAGTATTGTCGCAATGTGTCAATCTGCATTAAGTGGTAAAACTTCATTTTTAATTTGTCGTGTATTAATTGGTGCTATTGAAGGTGGGTTTATTGCTGATTTGGTATTATGGTTAAGTTATTTTTTCACTAGTTCTGAATTACCTGTTAGATTATCTTGGTTCTGGACTACATTGTCTTTAGTACAAGTAGGTACTTCATTATTAGCATTTGGTGTTTTACGCATGAGAGGACTCGCAGGTATGGCTGGTTGGAGATGGTTATTTTTACTTGAAGGGATTTTCACTTTAATCATTGGTGTTGCAGGATTCTATCTTATGGTTCCATCAGCAGTTCAAACTAAAAATTGGATGCATCCAAAGGGGTGGTTTACTGAACGTGAAGAGAAAATTGTTGTCAATAGAGTTTTAAGAGATGATCCAACCAAGGGATCAATGAACAACAGACAAGGGTTGACAGTTAAACAAATCATTCAAAGTTTTCAAGATGTTGATATTTTCCCAATTATGGCAATTGGACTCATTGCTTATATTGGTACTGGTACTTTTGGATCTTATTTTGTATTATTGACACGTCAAATTGGATTTTCAACATTTGATACGAATCTTTTAATGATTCCACCTCAAGTATTACATATTGTTTTCTTATTACTTATTACTTGGTTTTCAGAATATGTCGGTGAGAAAAGTTTTGTTTGTTTAATTGCACCATTTTATGCAGCCATTGTCATGGGTGTTATTAGATGGTGGCCAGGAAGTGGTAGGGAGATTTGGCCAACTTATATTTTAAATATGTTATATTCTGGTCAACCTTATATCCATGCTATTTGTGTTGCTTGGGTTTCAAGAAATTCCAATGGGGTAAGAACAAGATCTATAAGTTCTGCTTTATACAACATGTCTGTTCAATTGGGAAATATTATTGCTCAAAATATTTACAGACAAGATGATTTACCATTATACCGTAGAGGTAATACCCAATTGTTTATTTTGGAATTGGCTACAATTCCTGTGATTTTGCTTGCTAAGGCTTATTATGTGTTCAAAAATAGAAGAAGAGATAAAATCTGGAACGCTATGACTGAAGAAGAGAAAGAGGATTATAGGAATAACACCAAAGATGAAGGAACAAGAAGAAAAGATTTCAGATTTGCTCATTGATGTGTATGCAATGAGACAGTATAGTGGGCACAAGTTGTTCCAGTTGTGATATACACTGAAGGTTGTACAAGTGTTTGATTCCGTAGTCAGTTGTGATTTTACTATTAACGGTTCTTTACATAGAACTTATTTGTAGTAATAAATTAGATGTATTATAATAATACCAAATGAATATAGAATTATGTTAGAGAATTAGTTATATTGATAGCTATATAAAAGTAGCACATAAAATGTGTAGAATAAAGGGGGAAGTCGTCCATTTAAATAGTGGACGCTAATAACCAACGATTTACAACCAAATGTAAATTGGTCGTGTAATTACTAAGATCAAACACAACTCCGTCACGTGATAGAATATCACGCGCATTTTCTTAATTTGTATTGTAATTGATGTTTAGCCCCACTGTGTAAAAGTGCGAGGGGATATCGGAGTTAACGTCATACTGGACCAAAAGTATATTGGACATATTACAACGATTATTCGTTGTTTTACTCACACTAGGGTGAATAGTGGTTTTCTATACTTTAACTGGATCACATAACCACAATATTGTTGTTTGTTGGTTGCCATTGCTTTCAAACTAATTCCCACCACCACCATTACCACCACCACCACGACACGCTGTCCCCGTACCGACAGGAAGAAAAAAAAAAAATTCAGTCTGCGTTGTCCAAACGAAAACCAAAACAGAAAGTTGTCTGTTTGTTATCCTAATTTACATCAACTACCAATCGAATATTTCGATCACTTGTCAAGGTCTTTATAAACAACATTCATCTGGTTATCATCCTCAAAGTGAGTGACATAGATCAATTATTTAATTATTCATCAATATCTACAATAGATCACACATTCTATATCAGATGAAGTGTTAAAACAAAAATACAGAATTTCATACCTCCCGTTTTATTTTTTTAAAAAATCCATATATCAATAAATCAACCATCTTATCGTTTTTATTTTTGTTATTAAATCATGAGTCGAATAAATTCAGAAGAATCATCTGGTGTATCAACTAGAGAATCATTTGAAATTGAAGAACCTCATGAATCCATGTTGCAATCATCATCAAATACCAACAACAACGGTAAGAATAGTAATAAAAACTATAAATCAAAAACCATAGAATCTATAATTTATATATCAGGATGGTATTTTTTTTCATTATCTATATCAATTTATAATAAATGGATGTTTGGATCAGGATTAGATTTCAAATTTCCAATTATAATTACATCATTTCATCAATTATGTTTATTTATATTGAGTAGTCTGTTGTTATATTTCAATCCAAATTTAAGACCATGTCATAATAATTCATCAATGATTCCAGTTCGAAATTTAAAAAGTTTTTTCAATAGTCTTCTGATGGATTTTAATATTTATTTAAGACAAATATTTCCTTGTTCAATTGCAAGTGCTGGAGATATTGGTTTAAGTAATGTTTCAATATCAATGATTACTTTATCATTATATACAATGTTGAAAACTTCCTCATTGATGTTTGTTTTAATTTTTGGATTATTATTTAAGTTGGAAAAATTCAATTGGAGATTGATTGTAATTGTGATGATTATGACCGTTTCAGTAGTTATGATGACGGATAAACCAGATGAAGAATTAAATCAAGAAAATAATTCATCAATGGGTATAATTATGGTTATTTCAGCATCAATGTTGAGTGGATTAAGATGGTCTTTTACTCAAATTTTACTTAAAAAAAATTCATATACTCCAAATTCAATAAGTACTATATTTTATGTATCACCGGGAATGTGTTTAATTTTATTCTTTTTAGGTTTAATAATTGAAGGCTGGGGTAATTTCACAAGTAGTCAAATTTGGATAACCAAAGGATTATTTACAACTATTTTATTATTAATCATTCCAGGTATATTGGCATTTATGATGACTTTATGTGAATTTAAATTATTAACAGTTGCTCAAGTAATTACATTATCAGTAGCTGGGATTTTCAAAGAATTATTGACCATTATTTTGAGTTCTATTATATTTGGTGATAAATTAAGCTTTATAAATGTTTTGGGTTTATTATTGACTTTTGCTGATATTTTATGGTATAATTATTATAGATATTTTGAAAATGAAGATATAAAGAATAAATCACGAGGAGATTTAGAAAGGTGAGATATGAATTACATTATTAATATTATTAATATTATTATTATTATCACTGTCATGATGAAAAATCTATATAGATCTTTATTATCGTCTCCTTAATATACATATAGTTTGTTTTTGCAATTATCTTATAGGAATACAACTAATAGCAAACCTAAAGTCATTATAGTTGATATTAATTTATTATGTAATTGAAGTCCACCAATATCAATAATTACAGAATCTTGATATTTACCAATTTGTCCATTACTTGAAGTACCAGCAGCAGTGGCATTCATAGCACTTGTGGTTATTGAATTTGCATTTCCACTTCCATCACCAGTAATATAAATAGAACCACCACTAACAATAGCACCACTAAATCTAGCAGGAATATGTAATATTACACTTTCTCCACTAACTCTACTAGCTTGTGAATAACTTAATGTTACATCTCCATAATCACTATTTGATTCAGGTGTATAGGTAGTCGCAAATGGAATTGATCCTGAGGAAATATATCCAATTGATCTATTAGTTCTTGTTGAATTACGTCTTGTACCACTCTGTGTTGAACTCATTGTTTGATTGTATAAAATTGAATTATAATCTTCTAAATCTTCTTTATCAACTTGTAAAAATTTATTCAGATTAGCTAATCCAATAGTACCACCTTCGTTATCAACAACTAAATAAATATATTTCAAAAATGGTAATCCAAGACTATTATATCCAGATACTGAACTTGGAAGAACTTTTAATAAACAGGCTTTATCACCACTTTCAAAATTTAAAGATGATCCTTCATATACTGCATCAGTGATTAATTCACTTATTGGGACATTGACAGTAAGATTACCAATTTGGAATTGTATAGTTGCTTTCACATCAAGTAATGGTTGACATTTAACCAACCATCTAGCCAATTGACCAGAATAATATGCGTTTGTTTGTATGGCAATATTAACAATTATATCCAAAGGTAAATAAAAATATGACGATCTTGAATCAATTAAAACTGGTAATCCGCCACTATCAGATTTAACAGATACACTTTGACCAGAATTTAAATTAGCCACCAAGAGTTCCTCAATTTCAATAACTGGTAAAGTTAATTCAATTAAATCTTGATTTGATGTTTGTTGAGATGCATTGAATCGAAAACCACGATGGGCAATCATATCAAATTGATATAAATCACCAACAAAATACTTTGTATTAACAGCACCAGGTATTAATTGAGCAATGGCATTTTCTTGATCGGTATCATTGTTAAACCATAATGAATAACCAGGAGAATCAATGATATCAAGATTTGTTAAAGCATATAAAAACCCACTTCCTTTTGGAGTTCCTGCTAATCCAATACCGCCAAGTAATACATTAGAATCATTAGCATCTAAAAAGGTCACATTTGGTAAAACAAAATAATCCCCATTAGTTAAATTAAATTCTATATCATCAGTAACAAATTCACCCTCAGCACTAGCAGCATTCATATAAGGAATTCTATAACTTTGATTATTAACCGCAGCAATCGCATTAGTAGCTGGAGGCATATTACTTTCAAGTGAAGAGTACAAACCAAAATATCCACAATTTGAAGTATATTCAGGTGCATCAGTTATTTGTGAAGGTAATTCCCCGGTGGTATAAGTATAGTCCATTGACGAAAGTTGTGAATTTATCCAATTATCAACACTATTACAATCCAAGAAATTTTCATTATTCATTACCCAAATCTCGGGTTGAATCAAATCTAATCGTAAACCAATTTCTTGATCATTTCCAAATTTGAAATTTGCATTATAAAAAATATCATCTGTTGGTACTGTAAATAATAATTTGAATAAAGATTTATCTTCATCATTTTCTGTTGTTTTAGATGCAGCTTGGCTTGTTAAAAATAGATCCAGTCTCGTACTTGATGTCACAGTTTGAGTTTGTTGCGATGTTGTTGTTTGTCTTTGTAAAGTGACTTGAACAAGATCATCGGTTGTTGTTACTTGAGTAGTGTCTCTCCGTGTATCTCTAGTCTGAGTAGTCGGTGCTACAGCAATAGCAGTAGCTGAACTTGTGGTGTCTATGGTTGTACCTGATTGAACTCCAGGATTATTAATTATTGTTGATGTATTTATTGTGTCATCATCATCATCATCAGCTAAAACGACTTTGGACCATAATGATATTACTAGTAGGCATAGTTGTATTTTCTTCATTCCTTGTTATGTTATTAGTAAGTATAAGAAAGGGGGAAAGAGAGCGAAACAGGAAGGGATAGAGTCTTGGTGGTTGAATATAAACGATAATATGGGCTTATTTCTATTTTTAATGTGCATTAATATAAAAACAAAAAAAAAAAAAATTTCCAATCACCCAATTTTCGCTTTTTCCGTTTCCCGCTATTTCTGTTAGTTCGTGTGAAACACAATAATTGCCCACCGTTGACAACCAAATGCAAAATCTGGTCTGGGGTAGTGTACGACAATCAATTTTACCGATATACACGCAAACTTAAATTGTTTAAAAATTTAAACTTTCAATGACATCATCATCATCACCATCATCACTATCAAAGGAATAAAAGCTCACCATTACTGTTCATATACTAACCATATCTGGACGGAGCGTATATATGTTAAACAACGGTTGATCCGGTATATTTTGAATTCATTATTACATCCAAAAACCCTTTGGTATTTACCCATTTTTACTATTTCCTAACTCCGCTATTTTTATTTTCTCATTGATTGCCATATATATTTCTAAGCCCCCGAATCATCAACTGTTGCCCCCACAAATCAAACCATACGATATTTGATTGAATTGATCTCGGCTATGTGAATTTGTATATCATGTTGCACAGTTCACATTATGGTAATTACTTGGGATTTTTGAATTCAAAATCAATGGTGACTATATTCTTACCGTTATTAGTGAAGTAATGTGATACTCTTCCAATACTTTTCAAGCATTGCTCAACTTGACTAAATGTACCTAATGAATAATTAACCTGAATGAATAATTTTATGGTTATGAAATCTTGATTCTCCCTTTTAAATAATTGATTTAATTTATTTGAAAGTAGATTTAATTTTTTGATTAATTTGTCTAACATAGTGAATGATAAATTAACTTGATAATTATTAAATTTTCGAATATGTATCATCATAGATTCATCAATATGTGATATTTCAAACCCTGGGAGTTGTTCATATTTCTTGACTATCTTATAATCTCTTCTGTCTTCATAATCATCTTCATCGGTGGTTTTTAAAACGAATAAACTATGTTTATATAGATAATATTTTGTACTTTGTGTAAAATCAGGGAATAATTCTAATGACTTTATAGTTGAAACCTCAAGATATTTATAAATTTCAAATAAAATTTCATCTGGTAGATCACTGATATGTGTCATTTCTATCCCTCTTCTAACCCACAAGATATATCTGTGTATCGTACCTTTATCGTTGACTCGTTTTTTTTAGTGCAGTGTCCTTAAATGGGCCGCAGATAAGAGGATGGATGATTTAGTTTTTTTCTATTTGGAGATATACAAAAAAAAAGAAAAATATTCGGACGTGAGCTACGTAATTAACCTTTGCTAAAAGAAAAAACAAACAATGTAATCATAATATCGATAAGTTTACAAATTGTTGATACTATAATCATATATCAAACATTCAATAATCCAACCATTGTAATAACCCATAAAATTCATTAGTTGTTGTTGTTGTTATAATAAGTAAGACATATCACGTGATAACACACAAGATGCGGCGTGTCCATAAATTACCCCATTAGTACACCTGGTTGTGTAGTAATTTGCAGCGACAAGAAAAAAAAAATTTGGTTGTAATTGTTGGGTGTCAAGAAAATTATTTAGCACTACCTATGGCTGTGTGCGAAAAAAAAAAAAGAGTACGTGTACTGGCTGCCAAGTTTTTTTTTTTTTTTCTTAAGAATAAAACCTACAGATGACAAGAATATAAAATAATAGAAGATGAATAAGAATAAAGATGGTTGAGTAACAAGACGAAGAAGAAGAAGAAGAAGAAGAAGAAGAATTGAGAAATAAGGATGTATGATTTTTTTTTTTCTTTCTTTATTTTATCTTATTGATTCTTAATATTTATATATTTATTTAATATCCCCATCATGAACTCATTTTCAATTTTCAATTTTGAATATTAAATACTTTATCCTACCCTTATATTAATTTATCTTACAAAAACAATGATATTATCAGAATCACAATCAATAAGCAAAAGATTATTCAACTATGAGTATAGGTATCGTGATGATTGGTGGCGATGGAGATGGTTGTTATGGTTACTAATATTAATCCCAATAATTGGTTTATTACTCTTGATGCTTTGGAGAAGAAGAAAACAAAATAGAAAAGCTGTCACTTATACTACTACTACTCAATTACCTCCACCAAATGGGGTTTATTATCAACAAACGTATATTCCTCCAAGTGTTCCTCAAACTACTCAACAACAGCAAGGTTATTACGGTTATCAACCGGAACAGAATGGTAATTATGATTATGTAAGACCCCAGGGCCCACCACCAGCTCATACAAAATTTTAATATATATTTATATCTATATTTGCGATGATCTTAGTCATAAATTGTTGGTTGTGTAATCATTGACTCTTGCTAACCACAAAAACAATACTTAATATTCAATATACACTCACAAACACACAAAAAGAAGACGTATTAATATACATTTGGAACATACATACGATTAATTTTGTTTATTATTAGACACCAGCATAGATCTGTTTAACCGAATCGGTTATTGATTGTTCAAGAGGAATATAATCAATCCCAAGAACATCTTTAGTACTACTATCATCAATTTTATGTATACGTTTCATATTTTCTTCATCTCTTTTTAAATCTCCATCAGGTACTTTACAATTTGGAAATTTTTCATTTATTATGTGAGCAATCTTATCACTTGAAAACCCCCCAGCGACTAAAAGTAATCGTTTATTTGAAGTCTCATCATTTTCAAGTGCCAATACATGAGCTTTAGCAACGTCTCTTACATCAACATAATCTCCCCATAATTCAGGTATTGGATCATCCTTTGATAAATTTGCAATTGAATTAATCTTCTCTGCTGTAGTTGCCATATTTGCCGTATCAGTAAATTCATAAGCTTGTGGTCCAAATACATAAACTGGGTTTATAACAGTAAGTTTATAAAATGTATAATTCTCTTTTTTGTAATTCCATGCTGCTAATTCAGCAAATTTTTTTGATCCATAATAAATTTTACCAGGATCTAAACTTTCTTCCCAAGTAATTGGATTCCAATCATTCTCAGTATACGTTTTATTTGGATCAAATAATGAACCAAATCCAGCAACGGAAACGATTGAAGAAGTAACTACAACTTTTCTTACTTGAGTTCCATGATATTGAATAGATTGTAAAGTATTATGAGTTGCATCAACTGCTTTTTGCAACATTTCTTCATTATTACCTCCATCTGGATTAAACTGATATGGTGTCGCAGTATGAATAAAATATCTAACTTCTTGATGTCTTTGTAATGCTTCAGCAAATGCAGCTTTTGCAGTGATATCAGGAACAACTTCATAAGTGAAATGCAATGGTCCAATAAGTCGAGTTAATGCTTGTCCTTTAGCTTCTGATATAACTGATCCTACTACATTATATCCTTTTTCAATTAATTGTTTGATTATATGTTGAGCAATATAACCAGAAGCTCCAGATACAAAAACTGATGTACGGTGTTGATACAGCATTGTTTGTTTAGTAAGTTGAGAAATGTAGAAAGTTCAAGTCTTGAAGCAAATGAGAGATCCTAGTATTTATATATATATATATATATATCTGCTGTTAGTGACCATAAACTAGCTTGCAGGGATGCTGCAAATCGATGTTGCAAAGACCAATGCAACTTTATGTTATTCGATGTTGGTATTACTTCCTCCCGATACAAGTCATACTCTGTTCTATGTAGCGGTTATAATCGCGGGTTTATTGTCGGCATGATTGTTTTTGTTTTTCGTTTTTGTCGTGGAATGCAGCGCCAACCACAATTCCTCGTAACCTCATCCTGGAGTTTGGTGTCCAAAAGAGAAAAAAAATAATTCAAGAACGTGTGCTTGGTTGCAAATCAGCCATACAAAGTTAAAATTAATCAATTATCAAAGTAATTGATCTTCGATTACGGCTATAAGATCTACAGCTGGTATAAATCAAATACGGAGACGTGTTATTATAAATATATATTGTATATCATTATCGATATATATATTTTTTTTTTCGTTTGTTTGTATAATATCAAGTAAAGAAAACAACATCACATTTACAATTCACCGGATTCATCAATGGTGATCTTCTTAGAAGTAGCACCAGAACCAGAACCAAAAGATTCAAATCTTTTTTAACAACATCGAAACCATCAGTGACTTCACCGAAAACAAACGTGTTTACCATCTAACCATGGACATGGGACAGTGGTAATGAAAAATTGAGATCCATTGGTGTTTGGACCAGCATTGGCCATGGACAATAAACCTGGTCTATCGTGTCTCTTGGCAAAGTTTTCATCAGCAAATTTGGTACCGTAAATACTCTTACCACCAGTACCGTTAAAGTTGGTGAAATCACCACCTTGTAACATGAATTGTGGGATAACTCTGTGGAAAATGGAGCTCTTGTAACCGAAACCTTTTTCACCGGTACATAAAGCTCTGAAGTTTTCAGCGGTCTTTGGGACAACATCGTTGTACAATTTGAAGGAAATTCTTCCTAATTTTTGGCCATCGGCGGAGACATCGAAGTAGACGTTAGACATTTTTTTTTAGATTAAACAATTGAGTGAATGAATTGGAGTATCTATTGAACTAGGCAATTGAACTTAAAAGGAAAAGAAAGAAAAAAAAAAAGGAAAAGGAAAAAAAAAAAAAAGTGAAAAAAAAAAATGAAAGAAGGGGCAATTTATATTTCAAATTGAATTCGTTGAAATTTTTTTTTTTTCTCTTTCTTCTTTCGGTCAGTGTTCATTATTTTGTTGGCCATACTTGTTGCACGCAACGGGGGTGAGAGAGGAAAGAGGCAAAAAAAAAAACGTCCAGACACTGTCTTTTTTTTTCAAATTGCCTGCATAATGCCCCCATAATGAAACAGGGTCGTGTACTGACTGCTAAATAGAACGTTTTAGAAGCTTTTGCATTTGGTCACGTGAAAATGGTGTCATTTTTGTGAGATCTCCACTCCTTACTTCTTTTTCTTTGCCCCCTTGATTGTCATAATAAGGTCTGATCTTTTACAAATTGGTGTCTCATGATTGACAATTGTTCAATGGTAGGTAAAGCTATGTTCTTTGTATCTTTGTTGTATTTTTTTTTTTTGTCTGAAGATTTGTCCAATATTTATTTGATGCGAGATTGGTAAATATTAACTAATGACAGTACTCCGACAGTAGAGTAGTTCTTCAGTTTGTGACATCATTTGGGGAGGAATTTGATTCCAGATTCATTTAGGGCATTACTGAAAAGCATTCAGAAGATGCTTTTTGCTTTCACTCCATTTTCACGAGGATATGAAAATTATAAAAAGGGGTTCACGTTAGGTTTAAATAATTGAAAGCTTATCATCATAATGAAGAATTTAAACGTTCATTCGGTATTACCCGAAAGCCACAGTATCAGCAACAACCCCAATTTTTTTTTTTCTTTCTCTCTCTCTCACTCCAATTCTCTCCGCCCACAATGATTCACCAAAAGAATTTGGTTGTACTTTAACAGTTTTTCTACCTCTTCTTCTTCTTCTTCTCCCAAATAGCCAAACTAATCAACGATATATCTATTCATCGACAATGTCATTTAAAGAAGGTTCTAAATTCCCAGAAGGTGTTGAATTCACCTATATTCCAATTCAATTAGAAGATTTAACTTTAATTGATCCAACAAAATGTCAATCCACAACCACTTTGAAAATTGATGATATCTTGACTAAATTATCTCAATCTGATGAATCTTCTAAGCTTGTTTTTGTCTCTGTACCAGGTGCCTTCACTCCAACTTGTACAGAATCACATGTTCCTGGGATATTAGAAAATTTGGACAAATTGAAAAGTAAAAATGTTGGTGCTATTGTTGTTCTTGCTGTGAATGATGCATTTGTAGTTAATGCCTGGGGTAAAATATTAATTAAAGAATACGTTAAACAATCAAACAATATCCCAGAAATTTATTTTGCTAGTGATGGTGGATTTAGTGGTAAATATGATTTGGCAGCTGATAGAGGTGGGGTTTTTAGAAATAAAAGATATGCAGCTATTGTTGATTCAAAATCTAGAGATGTTTCTTATTTAGGTGTTGAAACTGAAAGAGGTGTTCATGTCTCTGGTGTTGATGCTCTTTTAGCTAAATTGTGAAAAGTTGCACAGGGTTATGATCTATAAATGTACATTAAAATTAAAATGATAAATTGAGTGTGTGGGTGTCGCCTAAACCAACATAGTAAAACTTAAATAAGCTCTTAGTATAAATGGTTTGAATGTACCTTGGGCTCAAACAAGATTGGTTTGTAATGACTACTACAATGTTTGACAGAACATTTGAGACCATGTGAATACCATTCAGAATTTTTATAAAAATTTGTACAGATTTCTCCTTAAAATTATCAAACACCACTGTCAACTGATAGCGTACCACAAGTGATTTGTGTTTTACTTTTGATTATTCATACTACCATACAAGTATACCCACATGATCTATAATATCCTTACAACAATCATTGCATTGATTATAATTACAAACAATTAAACTCAGATACAATCGTATCATGATACATAAATCCGAGCAACGTCTAAACCAAAAATTTCGTATATCTCCCAAGAAAGAAAAGAAAAAAAAAAAACATGTACCCATCGGATCTGTCAGTTCTGTATGTCATTATAATCTCTACTGTTCTACATGGTCACTGACTTGCCCTCGATCTTACTGCTAGATCTAGTCTTATCTGCTATTATCCCGAACTGACTGGTTATCTCAATAATTTTGTGCGTCCAATTTAAGAGTTTGCTGTGTTTGGAAATTTGCAAACGAGCAAACCGGAAAAGGAATTTTATGTACATTTTTGTTTTTGTTAGTGATAATCGATCACAGTGCAAAAAGACAGAAAACAAAAAAAAAAAGCAAACGGGACAACAAGTGCGAACAACAACAAAAAACAGAAAAAGTAGTTTCCTAAATTTGATGAAATTTCCCGTTGATATATTCCAATCTATTCCCACCCCGTTTTATTCATTATCTTACAACCAATTTTAATTATTGCAATAGATCCATAATATCTTTCCATCACCAATTATGCTGTTAAAGAACAAAGATCCGAGTTCATTGTTGAATATCCAGCATGATTTTATTATGAATAAGATAAAGCTGGTTCAGCAATCAGGTCAGTTGTACAATTTAATTATTGACGACAAAATTGAAGCCGTACTATATAATGTCATTAAGAAAGAACAATTATTACGTATCGTGGCCTCCATTGAAAAAATTGATGCAAAGAGAAGACAAAGTACTTTTATGACTGCAATTTATTTGCTTGAAGTTGATATCTATAATTTAAAATGCATTCTTGGTGATGTTACAACCAAAAAATATAAAAATGGTATTGCATTATTTCCAAGTTATCAAAAGGATCACAAGACTGAAAATTTCTGGATAAACAAGTTCTGGAACCAACCAAATGTTTTAAACTATTTTAATGAGAATATTGAGTTTTTCAATACAAATTATTTTCCTTTAGAGACAAGAGTATTTTTGGTAGACAATTCGACATCAAATTCCATGCCTATTTATTATAATCCAAATTGTATTGAATATATTACACCTCAAATTCAAATGGTTGCCAATGCATTGTTGAATTTAGTGGTATCCATGGAAGAATACCCCTTGATTCGTTTTTATCATCCTCAAGAAGGTGAATATGATGCAAAAAGATTACCCGAATTAATTGCCGATGCCTTCCAAACAAAATTAGATGATTATTGTCGATTAAATCAAAACTATCCACCACCATCTGTGGCAAACAAACCAAGAGCAATATTGTTGATTACTGATCGAACTATGGATTTATATGCTCCTTTGTTGCATGAATTCACTTATCAAGCCATGGCGTATGATATTGTGGAAAGTTTGGAAAGAACTGGTAAATACAAGTACAAATCAGAAAATGAAAAGGGTGAAATTAGTGATGTGGAGGCTAGTTTGGAAAATGAAAATGACGAAGATTGGGTTAATTTAAGACATTTACACATTATAGAAAGTTCTGAGTTGATTTTTAACAAGATTAGTGATTTAATCAAGAATAATCCATTGATGGTTGATAGATCAAAAGCTACAACATCATCGGATTTGATGCATATTGTTGCTCATTTGAAAGGATTTGATGAAGAAAGATCTCAAATTGAAACTTCATAAAACATTGATTGACGAAATGTTTGGATATCAATTCATCACGTAAATTGGCAGAATTTGCTGCTGATTTCGAACAAACATGTTGTGCTGAAGGAGTCAGTTTTGAAGGAGAAAGAAATAAGCATTTGCATGATGATTTGATTATTTTATTAGCAAGACATGATTTGCATATAAATGACAAGATGAGACTAGTGTTGATTTATGCCTTCTATCGTGGAGGGTTGATACGTCAGGATTTTGAAAAATTGATTCGATTCATTGGGGTTAACGATAAGTATATCACTGGATTGGTTGAAAAGTGCTTTAATAATGTCGAAAAATTAGGATTCCAGGTGTTTAAACAACAAGTCAAGGATAAACCTTTCCATAAGGAAATGTACCATGTAATTAATAATGAAGGTACTTATAACACATCAAGATACACTCCGGGGGTTAAAAGGATCATGCAGAATGCAGGTAAATATTCATTGGACAGAGATTGGTTCCCTTATTTCAGAGATCAACCATTAGATGAAGATTTACCTACTACCAATACTCGTATGGCATCAACTGGGGACATTAAGGATACACAATCAAGCGGATCATTGAGGAATACAAGAATAAAGGCCTCTTGGGCTTCGGCATCATCCAGAAACACGATGACACTAGCATCTGCAGCTAAATCCAAACAACGTGTCTTTTGTTATGTTGCTGGAGGGATGACATATAGTGAGATGAGATCTATTTATGAATTGACCTCTAGCATGAATAAAGAATTCTACATCGGATCTGAATGTATTTTAAAACCAAGAGATTTCTTAATTGGATTACAAAGTATTGATAAAAGTAAAAACCCTGCCAATTTGAATTTGAATATTACCAAAGAATTAGAAAAATCTAATGATCCTCCAATGCATGTATTCCAAGATGGTATGCCAAAACCAAGTGTTGCCTCTGCAGCGGCACCAGGAGGAATAGGATCAAACCAACCGCAAAATCAATTTAATCAACAAATCCAACAACAACAACAAATGTATCTGAATGCTCATCAAACTAATGGGAGTCATCATAATGGAGGAGGTAATGTCCCATCTCATTATCAAAAGAGACAAAGTAAAGCATATAGTGAAAACAGTATGCAATCTACACCATCTTCTGAAACAAAGGAGAAAAAGAAGAGTAAACTCAAAAGATTATTCAAAAGTTAAAGTTTGTACAATGTGTTTATTTTATCGTTATTTGCTTAATACATTTGTCTCTAATTACTACTTGTTATTACTGTAGCGTATGGCTGTGTCCGTGATTATGAATCTCATGCACAATCAATTAATGTCATACAGCTGACTATGATTGTTACCAGCAGACAAAGATTGCGATTGTAGATAATGTAATACCCGTGCTTCCTTTACTGATTGCACATTTACCCAAATGATACTATGTGATATGTGTATAGAATCCTCTCTTTCTCTGTTTATTGCTACACCACTTTATAGCAGTAAAATTATGAGATTTGTTCATCTTTTCTATTCTCTTGATTAAGTCTATAGAAGTAAATAGAAGAGTTTATAATTTAAAATTGACTTACATTAAACCATGTGTATCAGCCGGGGGCCCTCCACGATGTCAAATGTGGAAGTGGTGGGAAGAACCAAATGATGAAGGGTTGGCTCCTCCCCTCCACTTACCACCTCTCCTAATTAAAAGGAGAGGGTCGAACTGGGCCCACTTGTGTAAGTGGGGCCGACTCAGCCCGACCATGGCCCTCTTCTTGAGTTGCCATATCGCGTCCCCCTACTGACCCAAGGGGGGTAGATAGAGGATGAACCAGGAGGGAACGGGACTGGTCGACGGTCCTCTACCTGGTCCTCTACAAGTAGTGGTTTGTAATAAACCACCACTACTACTCATCGGGATATTCTACTAGCCTATCCCGATGAGTAGCTTTTAAAGATAGTGATGACCAGCCACTATCTTTTGAAGAACCTTCACTAATCAACATCGCCCCCTTCTTGTATATGTTGATCCCTTTTACAAGGTTCAAGATAACATGTGTTCCCAAGTTGCTATCTTATTTGGAAGGTTCTTCTTATGTTTGTGCATCATACTAAAGGAGCTATAAGTTGTTGACTTTGTTTACAATGACTTAACCAAGTGACACAAGCAAGAACTAGTGGGAAACAAATAACAACAACGGATGGAGAACACATAACCTTTGATTTTTGGTAAACTTGTTATGGATATAATGGATTGTAGTTCCTTATACAGAAGTTAGAATTTGCAGCCATGAATAAAACACATCAATTGATACTTACTTGATCTAAAGGATATCATATATAACTGATTGATACTAATTGTTTATAAAACAAAAAGGAAAAACAAAAAGAAAGTATTGTAAAAAAGTTTTTATTTTTGCAAAGTTATTTTTTTGTCCTTTTATAGTTGAGTTTTTTTGGGGTATTTGTGTAGATATTTTTTGTTATGCTTTATATGTTCAGTGCTACCAAATGCGGAGGAAAATTAAACAATTGTGGAGAGTGTACACTTAACAACAATTATGTGGCTTGCCAATTTCTCAATTCAGCAATCACCTCTTTTACATAAAAATTACTATAAAGCTACGGTAGTTTCACAGGTTTCAAATTAATTTGGTAACTATGTTTTGCATTCATATAATTTTTGAGTATTAAATACATTTAAAATCGACTTTTTTTAAAGGGACTAGCTTTCACAAATTAACAACAAACAATCATTGCTCAATATTTCCGTCTAGCTTTCCAACCAATTTTGCTAATAAATATCAATCACTTTTTATTTTTGATAAAACAAATTTACCTTTTGTGGTGATAATAGAAGGTGTCAAAAAGTTATAGATGAGATGGTGAATATCAGAAGTAACACGCACATGAAGTTGCACCAATTTGTCAGCAAATTGCACGGATATAATAATTAAAGTCCGAAGCCAAATTGGGTAATAATCCGCGCAGGTCTATATTACCACGCGTATATTTTTTAACTTCTTCCGCTGTTTTGTCACATGTACACGCATCTCGCTGCGTGGCAGACTCAATTTTTTTTTTCTTTGATGCCTTACCCATTGATTGTGGTTATCGTTAAGTGAAAAAAAAAAAATGAAATTAAATTACATTACATTATCATTAAACTACAAGGAATCATCTGTCTCACTCCAAGTTTTGTTTGACTATTTGATTTTTGAATTGTACTTGGTTTGATCATTACATTAGTAAAAGATGGAACAAGTTGAGGTTTTATCATCATCATCTTCCTACTTATCAGGAGGTTGGAATTTATTAAATCCTGTGCTATCTTTGAAATCCCCTATTTCTGAAACTACTACTGATGATAGTATGTTTATTAATTCTAACAATGTGACTAGTAATACTCTTGTTTCTCAATGGTTAGGATGTCATACTAAGAAGGAAAGTTGGGGTCCATTATCTTCAATTTATAATGATTTAACTCCATGTTTTTTACAAGGGGTATTATTTGGTATATCAGCAATATTAATGATTGTCTGTGGATCATATCAGATTTATTATTTGAGAAATAAAAAAATTTCCATAGCTAATAGAATCAATTATTCATTTTATGTTAAATTGTTGTTAGTTCTTATTCAATTAATTTTCCAAATCGGATTGGTTTTGCATTATCCATCTGGAACTGGTATTATTTATTCGTCTTTGATATTGAATTCCGTTGCAACTTTTATCGCTTTAGGCGTTCATTATTTAGAACAATTCAAATCAACTATTCCAAATGGTGTGTTGTTATTTTATTGGTTGTTTCAAATATTGATGAATTTGGGAAGAATTGCTAATCTTTACTTGAGAAATAAAATCGATTCTGATTTTTCTACTTTGGTAATCTTATCCACTGTTAATGCATTTATCATCTTGGTTATTGAAATTGCTATTCCTATGAAATCAATTGATTATTATCAAAGAATTGCCAATGAATCCCCTTATGACCGTGCTAATATTTTCTCGAGAATTACATTTGATTGGATGGGTGGATTAATGAAAAAAGGTTATCACAAGTATTTAACTGAAGAGGATTTGCCACCATTACCTAGAGATTTGAAAGCCAGTAAGACTAGTAAGAAATTCGATCATTATTGGTATAGTCAACCAGCCCAAAAGAAATCCATCCCTTGGGCAATTGCTCGTGCATTTGGAGGACAATTTTTAATGGGTGGTGTATTTAAAGGAGCTCAAGATGCTTTGGCATTTGTTCAACCCCAATTGTTACGTTTGTTGATTAAATTTGTCAATGATTATTCTCAATCAGTTAAACAAGGCGAACCAATCCCTCTTACTCGTGGGTTATTAATTGCTGTTTCCATGTTTATTGTTTCTGTCGTTCAAACTGCATTTTTACATCAATATTTCCAAAGAGCATTTGATTTAGGTATGAAAATCAAATCATCCTTGACTTCTGTTGTGTACAACAAATCTTTGGTTTTATCAAATGAAGCTAGACAAGAATCTTCCACCGGTGATATTGTTAATTTAATGTCTGTTGATGTTCAAAGGTTACAAGATTTGGTTCAAAATTTACAAATCATTTGGTCTGGACCTTTCCAAATTATCTTGTGTTTGTATTCCTTACATTCATTACTTGGAAATGCTATGTGGGCTGGTGTCGCCATTATGATCATTATGATTCCTTTAAATGCCGTTATTGCCAAAACTCAAAGAAGATTACAAAAAACCCAAATGAAATACAAAGATGAAAGATCAAGATTAATTAATGAAATTTTAAACAATATCAAGTCCTTGAAATTATATGCTTGGGAAAAACCATTCTTGAAACAATTAAACCATGTTAGAAATGATAAAGAATTGAGAAATTTGAGAAAAATGGGTGTTTTTGTTGCATTCACCAATTTCACTTGGAATTTAGCTCCATTTTTGGTTAGTTGTTAAAAAATTTGCTGTTTTTGTCTTGACTTCAAAGAAAAGTTTATCAAGAAGATTTAGTATTCCCAGCATTGTCTTTGTT